GTAATTTATGGACTAGAGCACTGTGGACAGGCTCAGGTGATTTATAGGACAGCAGTTCCTTCCGGGATGAACAAACCATTATTCTTAGCAATACTTTGTACTTAAACAACCTCTTCCTCACAAGGGTTCTTAAAGCTTGGCAAACACTAGAGCTGAACAGCTCTCCTGAAGCGCTGAGCACCCTTCCCCAGGCTGGAGAGAGGGAAAGGACCTGTAGACTCTTATCTTTCTGCTTGTTCAGTTGAACCCAGTGAAGTGCTGCCTGATTCAAGCCAAAGTGAAAGACTTTGGGGCCAAAGCAGCCCTGGTCTTCGGTAGAAGAGGGCACATAGGAAGGCTCTCAATGGTATCTGCTTACCCACAGCCCAACCGCGAGGACGAACACGAAGTACAGCACAAGGACAGCGATGTCCACGGCTTCCAGCGTCCTCTGGGGAAACACGTCCCACGAGGGGGTCACAGGGGTGCTGCTGGTGGTCTCCATGGCTTCCTATGCAGGCCCGGTGCTTCTTCGCCTCGATGCATGTATCTGTTAAAGAACGGGTTGCACGGTGAGGGGGGACCTGGCCTCCTCCTGCCTGTGGCTGCCCAGGTCCTTCAGCCTCTCTTGCACTTGTGAAGCCACATTTATAAGCTCCCCCCTGCCCAAAGGTGGGGCGAGGGGTGGCCTTCAGCAGCCCGGGGCTCCCGCATGGACCAGCACAGAGCAGGCGGTCGAACAAGTTCTTCCTGTGAGCACCATCGTGCAGCAGAGCACGGACCCGAGCAGCCTCAGCCACCCTGTCCCTCGCTCACAACCGGCTTCACCGCGTTGTCCGTGTGGGAACTGCAGCTGGAACCTGCCCTGAACTCCCCTTGAGATGAGGTGAAACCACCGCAGTCCTGCACCCATTGCCAAGGGGTATGAATGAAGCGGAGAGGACGGAGGTGCAGGTGCGGTGGTGATGGAGATGCTGCGGTTTCTCCTTGCCCTGTGTGCCCATTGCACCCAGTCCTGCAGCACTGGGGCTGTGGGCTTAGGCACTTATGGAGAGGCCGGACAAAAACTAAGGAGTTTTCTGGTGGTTGATACCACCCCATCACCTGCTTTCCACAGCAGCAGCCTCCAGTCCCAGAGCTCAATATGGTGCTGACCCATGTTGGGGTTGAGTGGCAGTGGTAGCAGCACCAGGCTGGGACCGGGGACTTGCAGCACCTTGTCAGAGCCTCTTCTGTGCCCCATAGAGCCCCCAGATCCCACTGAATTCCTTGGGAGCTTCTGCCTGGCAAGGATGCAGGGCACCGAAGCTCAGTCTTACCTCTTTAAGAGGCATTATGTCTTGGCTGTCACTGAGTTTTTACTGGCACGCTTAACCTCTAACTAGGAAAAGACAAACAGGGTTTGGTATGTCAGCCCCGGGATGCTGCTGACCCCATGCTGACACCTCCTGCTTTCCCTATCTCAGCTCTGATAGCGCTGTTTCTTTCCATCCCAAGTCACTTCCCATCTCAGGTGGGTAGCGCGGCAGCACAGACAGCGCTATAGGATACACACGCTCAGTCCCAGTCAGGATTCAGCCCACATATAGGAGAGAGTTGTGTCCATCCCTCCAAAACGCATGCGGATTCAGAGCTCTGCAGGCATTAGCTGTGCCCATCAGTGGTGAAGGGTGGGGGATGCTCCAGGGGCATTCGGGGGGGTGAGAGCCGCTGCCCCATTGCGGCAGCTGGAGCCGGCAGGCCCTAGGGAAGGGGCAGCGCGCGGTCGCTCTGGTTTCGCATCCCAACTGCACGGCCCAGTGGAAATTTTGCCTGCTTTGTGCATGCAGCTCACGGCTCGGTGCCCTCGGCTCCTGGCACCGGCCGCAGTGCTGTCCCCGCCAGAGACCGCGGGGAGGAACATCCGTGGCATGGAAATGAAGCGGCTGAAGCCAGCCCTGTGTCAATGGTGCCGGGAGAGGCGCAGCCCACGTGGGGCTCGAGGGACCCACCGGGACCACTGGAAATGCCTCCTCTGGGTGGGGGGGGGGGTTAAAGCATCCCCGGGTACATCCATCCTCCTGAGGACACAGCCACAGCGCTGGACCGCGGCCCCCAACCCTCGCACCGACCGCAGCGCCCCGACTCGAGGTACAAGCTGAAAGGGAACTTACTGCGCTCAGCCGGGTCTCATTCTGTCCCCCTGCGCCGGGCACCACCGAGCCTCTGCCAGCTGACAGGCAGCTTAAATATTGCCAGAGGGTCGGGATTTGCCAGCGGAGCCGTTACCGGTGTCCCAAGGAATGAGGAGGAATATCGATAGTCAAAGTTAAACTACCGGCCCGCAGTCCCTCTCCCGGTGCCCCGTGGCTCTGGTGAGGAGCCGCGCGTTATTTTCACTCTCAGGGCTCCCGGGTCAAACTCCACAGAGTGCCTTTCTCTTAAGCAATCTGCACAGCCAGAGAAGGGACAGGCAACAATAACCCAGCCACGCTGATGTCCTCCCGAGCTGACAGCCCGCGGCACGGGGGGGAGCTCACAGCGAGAGTGCCTGAGCCTCGCAGAGAGCACAATGCACCCATGGGATGGATGGGGTTTGTCGCTTGCTCCCACTTAATCTCAGCACCAGGCTGGAGGTTTCGACTTCAGCACCGTCGGTCTGAAAACCTGATAAACACCTACAGGCAATTCTTGACATTGATAATAGAAGCCAGTTTGTTAACTAGGAAAGGGCACCCCAGGGTCTATAATAACAGAAAGCAAAGCCTCGGTGTCTGTATTTTATCCCCTTGTTTCCCTTTTGGTTTATAGTGCAGACGAACATAACTAAAGGTCTTTGAACCTTGTGATTGGAGATGCTTTCATTTGATCTGCTGGAACTTGGCAAACCCCAATTTCCCCCAGTTGCATTGGAATTTGGGGCTTCAGACCTAGCAATCAGGTGCTCCCAGTCTGTGCCACTTTTTCCTGACTTCCAACCTTTCCATTCTGGAGCTGACACCTCAGTTTGTCTCTGTGGCACCTTTTATGGCACCTGGAAAATCATTATAGATGGTGGCCCTTCGAACCATTATCAAGATACTTAGAGAGAGGGTTCAAAGTGGTTGCACTTTGGCTTGGAGATACCCCAGCTACAGCTGCCCTCGTGCCTTCACCGTGACTTTACTAAAGCTGCCCAATTCCTCTTTGAAGTCTTCCCCCCCACACCATTTCTTGCAGGGAAGAGTGAAACCCCTTAAACACTGCGAGGTTGGGGATGTAACCGGGGTTGTCAGGTCACCGCTCCCGGCTCTGGCAGAGGGGGGAAGCGGCACCCGTGGAGCCAGAGCCTGCATTCCCTGCCTGACCCCGGGCTGCTGCCTGACTTATTGTTTCCTTCCCAAGGACAGGCTTTCCTGTGCCGAGGATCCCGTGACCGGGGCTGACGCAGGGGCTCTGCTGAGCCGGGGCTGGGAGGAGAGTGCCGGGGCACTGCTTCTGGGGAGAAATGCCCTCGTGTTTGCAGTTACCAAGAATCAGCAAAGGCAGCGTGCGATGGGTGATGCTGACTGCGAGGGAGGCTCCGGGATCCGTTCTGCAACGGGCGGTGGGAGGTTTCGCGTCTGCACTGGGCAGCTTGGGAGCCTTCCAGAGCCTAAAGGGGCTACAAGAAAGCTGGAGAGGGGCTTTGTAAATGGGCACATAGGGACAGGCCGAGGGGAATGGCTTTAACCTGCCTGAGGGGAGACTGAGATGAGCTCTTAGGCAGAAGCTCTTCCCTGGGAGGGTGCTGAGGCGCTGGCACAGGGTGCCCAGAGAAGCTGTGGCTGCCCCATCCCTGGCAGTGCTCAAGGCCAGGTTGGACACAGGGGCTTGGAGCAAGCTGCTCCAGTGGAAGGTGTCCCTGCCCGTGGCAGGGGTTGGAGCTGGAGGAGCTTTAAGGTCCCTTCCAACCCAAACAGGTCTGGGATTCCATGGTTATCCCCAGGGTTGCACCAGAGCCAGGCTGGCTGAGCCAGGAGCATCAGGAGGGGCCTGAGCACTGTAAATGCACGTGTTCAGCAAGGGATTTCTACCTGTCACGTCTCTGTTAGCTCTGCTCAGAGCTCTTTTACAGTTGCCGGTGCTGTGGCCTCCAGGGAGGACCGAGCAGCCTGCAGCAAGCCAAACTACAACCAGAAAGCCGATAGCAGCCGGCCCCTATCTGCTTTAGTGTAAAAGAGATAAATCCCTCTGGGGACATTCCTTTGCACAGGGAAACAACCCCTGGCTCATCCCCTCTCTCAGTGCTTTCTTCTGCAGGAATACTCCACGCTATGCTAAGAATGTGCTGCTCACACCCAGCACGAGCCTGGCTGCCGGGGCTCACGCAGCGCTGGGCGCGCTTGTGCCCTTGTTTTCCCTGCTCCCAGCCCAAGCCCAGCAGGGTCGGATGCTGCAGCTCCCTCCTGGAGGGGTGAGGGTCAGCGCTCGCAGCAGTGCCCGGTGCAGGATCGCACCTGCAGCCGTCACACGAGCAGTGGCTGGCACAACACGGAGGCCCACGGCGTCAGGAGGCAGAAGGCAGCAGCTTTATTTCAGGGACAGCACATAGGCATGGGGGAGAGGCTGAACCGTGACTATACACAAGTCCCGTTATCAAATAATACAACCCTAAGTCAGAAGTTCTGGTTCTTTGAAAATATTCCCATAAAAATACCAAAGGGGTTGGAGTTCTACCCGTCCTGGGGAGGTACAACGCGTAGCAAAACCTATGTACAGCGCTTTCACCTCTGCGAGGGAAAAGAACCCCGGGTGGTTTCGATATTGAGTATGCGGTTAGAAAAATAAACCAAAATGAACTGAATGCAGTGTGCAGCATCCCAGACACGTGGAGCTGGGGCAGCGTCGCCCTGGCCCTGCTCTCAGGGCTGGACAACACTAGGAGCTACCTGGCACTTCAAGCTGTGTGAGCTGAGAACACTTGTGGAAATGCACTTCACGTCCTAGAGCAGGGCTTAAAACCAGACCGAACCCCCCGGATTTGGTGGTCATCAGGTCCCCCTTAAGTAACGCACCAGCCGCTGCAGGAGGAGCTCTGGCTCTGGCAATAGATGGGAGGAAGGTTCCCTATGCTATGTCTTCCACTGGGCAGGATGTGGGAGCGAGTGGGGTCTGAAAGGCAATGGATGCGGGTTGCACGGAGCGATGCCTCCCAGTGTGAATGCACTGGAGCGTGGCTGCTGGCAAGCTCTGGGGGCACCGTGTCCCCCCGAGGGGCACGCACTGAGCAGGGGATGCTGCTTCCCTTCCACCCCGGGGACACCGCATCTAAACAACAAGCAGACACTGTTGGAAGGTTGGACCTGCACACTCTGAGTTCCCTGGGTACACTCAGCACGAACAAGCGGCCATACACGAAAGGGACTCTGGGGATTCCAGCCCTTGGGAGCAAATATAGGACAGGGATCTATTTCTCACTGGTCTCTGCCCCTGAGGCACCAGAATGCCCAGGGGTTTGTGTCTCCTGGTGAGTTCCAATAAGCCTGTAGTGCTGCTGCTAAACCCTTGGGATGATTCCAAGACCTACCAGTCTCTAACACACCTTTAAGCAAAGCTGGTGGCCAGGACGGACTCTGGCCTTCCCTTACTCCAGCACAGCTGGGCAGAACCAGACTGGATCACATCTGGGACCACGGTGACCTTCCAGAAGGGTTCTGAAGGTTGTGTTGCATCCCATTGCCACCGGCCAGCAATGGCATGCTCTGGGAACACGAGATGGGGGGGGTTTACCCAGCGGTGTCTAAATCCTGGAATAAGCTGGGGATGGAGGACGCCAGGAAAGCTCTTGTCAAGACCAGTGAGGTGCTCACCTTCATGTCCCCGTGCCTCACCCTCGCACCCATCCACCACCCCCTGTGGTACCCTTTCAGCATCCCGACTGCCCCGAGCCTCGGTCCCTGTTGTGCTGGGTGGGAGCAGGCGGCAGCAGCGGGCGTACAACCGGCCTCAACGGGAGCAAATTGCACTTGGTTGGCAACGAACGCTGCGGCTCATGGGATGCTGCCCATCACCAGGCCAGGGGGGACGTCATCCGGGGGCTGCGCTGGCTCTCGCCGACCTGCACGTCACTGAGTGCCCGCTGCAGAGAGAGCAGAGACAGGAGATGGGCGCGGGCCAGGGATGTCCTGGCTGCTACAGGCTTAATTCTACCCCTGCTTCCCCCTGGATTGGTCACTCCCTGAGTCTGCTTTGTGGAGCTCCAACCCAGCCGTGGTTAACCATGACAATCACCTTGACTCTCCATGGGGCTGGTGACCCTCAACCCTCCTGCACCCACCAACCAACCTGTGCTTTGAAAGCTGGCACTTTACGGACACAAAGCCCTCATCTGGCTCCCACAGCTCGCGTGCAGGTGAAACACTGACACTTAACAGGAGCCCCCTCGCCGGCTGCCTTCGCAAGCGGAGCTCACCTCAAACTTGCTCATGAATTCTGCAAAAATGCCAAAGAAAGCCTCAGAAGTCGTCATTTTGGAGTCCTCCCCGAAGAAGGACAGCACCTTGCTGAATTCCTCCATGGCCTTGTGCTGCAGATCGTCCAGGGATCGCATGGCAGGCTGGGCGCTCTCCAGGAAGGACTGAGGGAAGCGGCTTAAGGACAAACAGCCTGGTACAGGTCAGAGTCGCTTCTGCTTATCAAGTGGCTGGGTCTCATCTTGGGTCTAAGAAAGGAGTTGCTGCAGATGCTGGCTGCGAAGGGGGCCCACTGGCACGCTCGGCTTCCCCAGCAGCGCTTATAGAACCTTAGGTTTTTGTTGGAAGGGACCTTAAAGCTCCTCCAGCTCCAACCCCTGCCACGGGCAGGGACCCCTTCCACTGGAGCAGCTTGCTCCAAGCCCCTGTGTCCAACCTGGCCTTGAGCACTGCCAGGGATGGGGCAGCCACAGCTTCTCTGGGCCAGCGTGGAAGGATGAACAGCTCAGCAAGCTCGCTGGCCTTGTGGCACTGGGTTTGCCCTGCAGAGGCAGGGGAACCAGTGACCATCACCAAAGCTGTTTTATGCACTAAGACTGAGTGGAGAGGGAAGATCCCCCGAGTGCTGAGATGGTGCTTTCCTATAGCCAGACACAGCCCCGCTGCTGCCCAAGGGGGCACAAAGACACCGAATGGTTTCACTGGAGGCAGTGAAGTCACCTGGGTGATGTGTCCCATTCACAGAAGGATACGGCCATCACAACAGCAAACCTGTCCTCCGCGGTAGCTGGCATGTTGTGACAGGCCATCTGTATGTCACTGACAGTGGTGTGCAGGTCCTTTAGGTCGGCTGTGAGCGTTCTCTGATTCACTGCATGAGAAGAGAGGGGTCAGGGTTAGGAGGCTTAGGGCTGGCTTCCTGCAGCACAGTGAGAGCCGTGGGTGAGACCAGGTCTGGCACTGGGAGTCAGTGTCGGAGTGGGCAGTGGCAGCAGTTTGGGCAGCAGTGAGCCTTCAGTTGGGGCAGATGCAAAATCCAGCTGGAAAGCTACAGGTACAGACTTCCAAGTGGGAATTTACATCCCCGGGCCTGCATTTCCTCCTTTATTTAGCCACTGTGGCACTAATTCCCAAGGGAATTGCTCAGAGACAGCAGGGGATGGGGTACAAGGGGGCTGCAGGCTCTGCTCTGTGTGCAGCCAGCCTGCTGTGACACCACCCCAACGGATGGGTGATCCCCAGCAGCTATGTGACTTGCCTGTGGCAGGCAGGGAAGCGGGACGATCCCCAGCAGCGCCAGAGCTGTTCCTGGGTGCTGAACCCGGCCCACGAGGGTGCTGTGCGCTCCGCACCACCCGCAGCAATAGCGCTGGCACCCGCGCTGGGGACGGAAGGAGGCAGGGGCTGGGTGGAGCAGAGCACTCTGCTGCACGGACACCTCTGGACTTGGGAACCGCTGCTCCAGGTCAGGAGGCTGCGGTCAGGGCACAGAGGCACTGCCATGGGCGACACTGAGCTCATCCCTTCCTAACCCCATCCTGTCACTCGGGACCGTTCCTCACTCATGTCGCTGCCATCCTGCTCATGCCAGTGCTGTGCAGCTCACCATGGATTCCAGACCCAAACAGAACCGAGACGCGGGGCTCACAGGTGCTTTCGTCCCTTTACCTTTGGCAGCGAGCGGCACTGTGGGAAGATCCTTGGCGAAGCCCAGGAGCTCTGGGAAGTGTTGGCTGAGTGACTTGGCAAGGATGTGCAGGAAGGTGGATTTGCCATCAACGGTCTTGGTTGTGTTCAGCTGCAGCAAAGCAAAACAGGTCAGGAGGTCCCTATGCAGAGAGTGGGGTTTGCCGTGTGCTCAGTGTGTCGGTCACCGGACACACAGGGGCTCCTCTGTTCTCTCAGCTCACCCTGCCTTCACGTGCGTGGCGACACCAGCCATGATACGTGGATTAATGGTTAAAGAGGACATTTAATGTTTAGACAGCACGTTACACCCAGAGGAGTGGTGTCGAGGTGCTAATCGATGCTCTCACCCCATCCTCCACAGCAGCCCACGTGGGATGAAGACCTTTGGTTTCTCCAGCCCCGCAGCCTCTCAGCGAGCACGGGTCTCAGGCCCCAGCACACTGAAGCATCAGAGCACTGGTACAGCCTCCCTGGAGCCCACCCTGAGCATCAAGCTGGGACCCTTGTACAGGGACAGGCACTCTGAGCTCCCGGCATTGGTGCCTCCTGTACAGAACAGGCAAGTGTTGTCCTACCTCAGTGAGAAAGTTGATTTTGAAGCCCGTGGTTTTGCTGGTCCTGGGCTGCCCGTTGTTCAGGTAGTTCCCCATCGCCAGCACAAACTGCAGGGAGAAACCCCAGTGAGAGACTGGGCAGTGACCTCCAGCACTTACATTGTCCCTTCTCCTTCTGGCTCACAGAGACCGACAAGCGATGTGGTAGGAGCAGAGCTGAGAGGCCACACTCTGTCTGCAGGGCCTCTTCTGGGCCAGCTCACTTCTGCTAAGAGGCCCCTAGATGCGTTCATAGAGCACCAGTAATAAAACATTACCAGTGCATTCAATGGGTTAGACTGGGCGGATGGATACACGTAAAGGCAGAATTCCTGCTGGTTCTGTACACACTGGCAAGTGCCAAAGCTCTCTTCTCCCCAAAGCCTTTGGTGACTTTTATCTGTAAGGGGGTGTTTCAAAGGGAACAGTGACCAGCAGAGCCGGCTTTCCCTTCCAGAATGCTCCAGCTCCTTCTGCTGCAGCTTCGCAGCCTTGGAGGCACATCAGGACCTCAGAGCGGGCTCACCCGAGTCCCAGCATCCCTCCTGGGGCCTGGCAAGGAGCAGGGACCTCAGGACCATCGGGGTCTCAGCCTGGGGCTCTCTGTTCACCTTCCATTAACGTGCAACCAGCTTGGGGGTTACTGCCCAGGTGCCACTAATCTGGAAATGCCTTTGTCACATTTTGACCTCATTTATGCCACCTGCTGCTTTTAAACCCCCATTGAACATCAGTGTGGGGCAGCTGATGCCAGTGGGGTCAAGGAGCCCTGCAGCAGGATCTGTTCTCTCCTGCAAGCTGCTCAAGCTGCACCCGGAGAGGTGCTGGCCACAGCGCTGGGGCTGGAGCTGTGCCTGCAATGCCCAGGCTCCTGCAGGCATTCCCATGGCCTCCGGTGGCTGATAGGAGCAGGAAGGACTGTGCTGACCTCCAGGATCTTGGCCAGCTTCTTGCTGCTCTTCAGCTCCAGAGAGGCCTTGCAGATGCACTCGTAGCTCGCCTTGATCTCCTCTGTCTTCTCCTGCAGAGTGGTCTTAAAGTGCAGGCTGCGCAGGCGGATCTTGTACTCTGGGACTGACAGCATCTGGGATCAAAAGGAGGGGAGAGTTACCGCTGCCCCCATCAGCCTTAACCCTCCTCTGGGGTGTTTTTCCTGGGATATTTCCCTGTACATGGGAGCAGCATGCACAGGCAACCACACGGAGCAGCCTGACAGTGGCTGGAACTCGCAGGGCACAGCCAGTTTGCTGCCACAGGATGGGGACATTTCATGCCAATATCCACAAGTGACTTTGTCACCAGGAGCTGGGCAAAGTCACTCCTGTCACGGAGCAAACATCAAGGGATGCTTCGGCAGTGGGAGCTGCTGGGTGCCTCAGCCTGAGCATCAGTGCCCAGCGGTCCCTGTGACCGGTGCCACCAGCTCTTCCCATCCCACAGCGTGCAGGAGCATCCTGCTGATTGCTCTGTGCTTTCCCTCCCTCCAGCCCCAGAGGGACATCCCTGGAGCACATCCCTGCCCGCAGGTACCTGCAGCACAAACTGGTCGGGCTCACTCAGCTTCCCAGGGTTCTCCTTGTAGCTCTGGAAGCGCTGCACTTCCTCCCCATCGGGCGCGTACAGCAGGAGCTGCTTGATGTGGGAAGGCTCCAGCCGGTCCGTCTCCATCGTCATGAGGATCTGGCGTAGCTCCATGTGCGAGAGCTTGAGGTGGGCTATGAGGATGGCTGTGGGAAGGGAGGGATGTCACTTGGAGGGGAGGAGGACAGGGCCCCGGTGGGGCTGGCTGTGTTGGGAACCCAGCAGCATGGGGCCAGGAGGGGATGCTCAAGGTGTGAATGGTGTGGACCGCTCCATGTACCCGCTCTGGCACAGGGTAATCCCGAGGGAAAAGAAGGGCTTCCCACTCCCCAGAGCCCTGCAGAGGGACCCCAAGGAGTCGCTCTGGTCCTGCAGACCCCCCCAGGGCATGGCATCCTGTGCATGCGCATCCCCAATGCATCAGGCTGGGTTGCTATGGAAGCCACCCCCCCTCGTCTCCTCCTCTCCCACATCCCTCATGGACAGGAGAGCTGGGTCTCACAGGGTCCCACCAAGCCCTTCCATGCTCCTTTACATCAGAAGCACATCCTGGAGAAGCAGCACTGCCCCTTGCACACCCTCACTGCTCCATGGGACCATGCAGGCTCTGTCCCTCTGCCCCCCGAGGCCAATGAGCCACATCCCATCTCCATCCCTTATTGTGAACGCTGCTTCCTCCCCCTGCCCAGGGCTGAGCCCAGCCTGGAGGCTGCGGGAAGAGCCTAAAGCAGCAGAGCCGTGCAGGGATTGTGCCCATGGGATTGTGCTCATGTGGCCTCCTTCCTTTTACCTTTCCAGTTCTCTACATCCCCGGCCCCATCTCTGGGCCCGTTTCGGGCTGGGTTCACCCTGATCTTTACTCACATGTGTTGTAGGCCTTTTTGTGGGACAAAATCTCAACCACGTCTTTCTTTTTAAAGTTCTCAGGCATGAGAGTTGGCTCTGGAAGAGAAACTGAGAGATTTAATCACAGGTAAGGACAGGCTCAGCCGGCTCCAGCGGGAAGAAAACTGTCCTGAAAACAGGGAAACCATGAGTGACACAAGGGATGCTTTGCACACAGCAATGGCTCCGGGAGTCCTTGAATTCAGCGATTCAAAGATCTCCTCAATGGAGGACTCAGTTGGAGCTGAAAAAGGCAAAACGAGAGGTGAGACACACAGAAAACCCCAGATTGCCCAGAAACAGCCCCAAAATGATGCATCCCATTTCATCCCACTTCCACTGCCGCTCCCAGCTGTATCTGCCCATCCTGGCTTAGCTCTGCCCATGCTGCCATCATGGCAGAGCTCAGCCATCCCATTGGCATTTTGCTTTTCCCAGTGTAAACGGGGCAGCCACGCTGCCCCATGGATCCCTTTGGGAATACTGTGGGGGACAGGAGCTCTCTGCTTGCACCCTGAATGCCTCAGTCCATGGGTCTGCAGGAGACCCCTATTCAAGAGCAAGAGGGGGGACGTGCGGTAGCTGTGGAGCCCATACATAGGTCTTGTGGGGAGCTAGCATATTATATATGCAACAAGAGAAGTGCTGTTTGTCACGCTCTCTATGGGCACGGAAATGTTCTCGTGGCTTTCTCAGGGCCGAGTTCCCAACGCTCCAACTCCCTTCCCAACTGCAGCCATTCCCGCAGGGCCGTGCATGGCGCTGGCTGTCCCCACTGCGCGACCCACGGCAAGCAGAGGCTGTGCCCAGCTCGTTGCTGCACGGTGCAGGTTTGAGCTTCTGCTCTGGTGTGGAGCCACTGCAATGGCAACGGTGCTGTGAGAGCCGGGAAGCAGCACGGGGAGAGAAACTCCAGCTGAGCTTCCTGCCCCAACCAGCTGGAACGTGGGGAGAACGCAGGGAACAGCAGCCAGGGACATTAAGGGAGATGGGGAAACAATGTCCCCCTTAATGACCTGCTGAGCCGCACAATGCTGAGCATGAGCAAAGGCTGTGCTGGGCGATGCCGGGACCAGACACTGCCCCTCTGCCCCCCAGTTCCTCCCAGCGCCCCGGTCTCTGGCCAGCACCAGGACCTGTTCTGGGGCTCAGGTACTTACTCGTAGGCTTCTGCGTCCCGAAGTGCAGCTCCAGGTCGAGGTATTTGACCATGTCGCTGAGCTTGTCGTAGTCGGAGTCCTCCCCTAGCTGCAGGAGGAGGGAGAGTCAGGAGCCGCAGGGATACCTGCCGCTGCCCAATGGCGCCCAGTGGCCGCCTTCCCTCCGCCCCAGCTGAGCTCCATGTCCCTAAGGAACCCAGGCCAGGTCGGTGGCACTGGAGACTCGGCCATCGCAAACCCTGGGCAGAAACCAGAGCCTGGTGAACCGGTCACCTCCATGGGGGTGGCTTCCGCAGGAGTCACCAAACCCAAGTGCTGGGACCCAGAAGAGAGGAACAAACCTGGAGATGCACCCCAGGAGTGTTCATTCAGCTTCAGCAGAACCCACAGAGCCCTCCCTGCTGCTCCTCCCTTGAGATGTCATCACCACAGTTGGGTCCAAACAATTCCAATGTTGAGAAGAAACAGCATCAGGGAACGTTTGTGTTGGAAGGGACCTCAAAGCTCCTCCAGCTCCAACCCCTGCCACAGGCAGGGACCCCTTCCACTGGAGCAGCTTGCTCCAAGCCCCTGTGTCCAACCTGGCCTTGAACACTGCCAGGGATGGGGCAGCCACAGCTTCTCTGGGCACCCTGTGCCAGCGCCTCAGCACCCTCACAGGGAAGAGCTTCTGCCTAAGAGCTCATCTCAGTCTCCCCTCGGGCAGGTTAAAGCCATTCCCCTTGGCCTGTCCCTCATATGAGACTTTCTGTAATGTTGCATCTTTAGAGTTCACTCCCATGGCCAAGGTATTGAATGTGTGGCCCAACAAGGGGTTAGGACATCATGCCCCATCCCTGGCAGCGCTCAAGGCCAGGTTGGACACAGGGACTTGGAGCAAGCTGCTCCAGTGGAAGGTGTCCCTGCCCGTGGCAGGGGTTGGAGCTGGAGGAGCTTTAAGGTCCCTCCCAGCCCAAACCATTCCCTGATTCCATGCTCTGGGCAGTGCTCAGGGATGCTCCCGATGACCTGCACAGCCTCAGCCCAGGAGCCCTTCCCCATCCCACATGGACCCTCACCCCGTCGCCCCCCTCCACGTCCATACCTGCCCCCAGATGGTCCCTTCCGAGTTCTCGACCTGCTCCCACCGCAGCCTCTTCACGCTCATGTGGTTGGACTCGCTGCGGCGGTGCAGGAGCCCGCGGTGCAGCGGGGGGGCACAGGGCACCGGGGGGGGCGGCGGCGGCGGCGGGGGGGGCGGGATGGGCTGCAGGTGGCTCAGCAGGGACTTGGGGGCCGGCGCTGGCACCGTCTTTGTGGCCTCGGCCTTGGCGGGGACAGCCTGGGGGTCATGGAACTGCAAGGGGGGTGGCGGAGGGGGGGGGCTGAGCGGCGGGGGGGGGATGTGGTCCGACAGCGTGGAGTAGGTGAGGGAGCTGCCCTCGTCGCTGCTGCTGATGTACTCGCTGCTGCTGACGTCGTTGGTGACGTAGCTGCCCTGGTCATCGTGGAAACTCATCTGGTGATGGAGAGAGCAGAGGATGAAGGTGGGACCTCGTCGGGGTCCTGCCCTGTGCTGTGCATCCCTCCCTCTGCCATCACAGAGCCCCGCAGGCTGCGCATCCATCCCAGTGCAGGCTGCGCATCCATCCCAGTGCAGGCTGCGCATCCATCCCAGTGCAGGCTGCCCATGGGTGACTCCACAGCCAGGGCAAAGACCAGGGGGCAGAGACCATCACCCCTGCGCCACGCTCACCTCCTCGTAGTCATTCTCAGGGGTGAGGAAATCATCCACGATGGTGACCCGGTGCCCCAGCTGCTCGCTGAGGGCATCCAGGAAGCGGTCGGTGTCGCGGCTGCGCGGGGGCCTGGAGAAGGTGAAGAGCTTCTTCCGTCGCGACAGAGGGCTGGGCGCGTAGTGGCGGTGCCGGGGCGATGGGGCCGGGCTGCTGTCGAGGCTGACGTAGGGGTTGGACTCGGTGCTGCTCGGGGAGGCCACGCTGCTGTGCAGGCGGTAGTAGCACTGCTGGGACGACGCCGGGTCGCTGGGCCAGGAGATCACCGACTTGCGAGAGCCTGCGGGGCAGAGCAGCGCGGAGGGACCCTGCAGGTGCAGCTCTGCGGGAGCTCGAGCGTGGCACCATCACTGCTTCCTTATAACCGCACCGAGGGGTAGCTGCAAGCCCCCGCTGCTGAGCCCCCCAGCGCTGCCTGTCTCCATGGGGAGCTGATGCTCACCTGTAGCGTGCGGCAGCTCCGGCGCAGGAGGCGATGCTCTTTGCCGGGCAGTGCTCCCCATCTTGCCAGCAAAGCTGCTGAGCAGGCGGTTTTCCAGCTCTGCGTAGACGGCCGACATCTGCAAACCAGGCAAAGAGCTGCTGTTGATGCCTGAATCAATACAGGGCTTGTGGAGACCCCAGGGACCTGCGATGGGGACAGGACAGCCACAGCGGACCCCCAGCTCTTTAATAGAGAGCTTCACCCACCCCAAAGCTGTGCCCCAAGAGCCTCACGAGGCAGCAGGAGGATGCTGACAGACACCAGTTAAAGCTGTCTAATTGCCCAGGGAAGTGATCTCAGAGGTGAGCTCTGAGGCAGGGATGCTGCAGCCACCGGCAGGTATTTACATGAGCACATCCTTTCCCGTTCCCTTTCCTCTGCTTTCCTGCATTAGCACTAAAGGGGTCAAACTGCTGGTGCTGTGAACGCGACGGTCCCGCACCATTTTGGGGTTGGGTGTCTCCGGCAGGGATGTGCCGTCTCCAGCCTGTCTCTCCCCAGGGATCAGCCGAACCGGGACCTCCACGGTGTCGCTCTGGCCTGTGGGGAAGGGAAGGAAGAGACAAACCCATCAGGGACCCCTCTCTGCCTGTGCCCCATGGTGCCCCTGACCCGTCAAGGTTCCCCCATCTCCTACTGGGACCCAGCACATGGTGAAGCACCCGGAGCTGCCGGGTCTGGGGATCCCAAGGGATTGACGCAGGGCAAGTGATGGCCCCGTGCACGGGCTGTGTGAAACAGGGAATGTCTTACTGCAGCTCCCCTGCGTGGCAGCAGGAGTCACCCGGCAAAGAGGCATCATGTGTGCTGGGAAACAAGTGCGAGGGAGCAAAAGTCCTCCTGTGCCTTGCCCTTCACCTCTCCAGATTCACTTTCTTCCTCTCTAAAATGAAGACAGGATTCGCCTCTCAGTCCCCCCAACTGGTAGGTTTGAAGGTGCCTGTAAATCCTTAGCACCAGAGCAGCGCTGTGACCATGGTGTTGTCACTGTGTTCCTCGGGAGCGCTGCACACAGGGGATGGTCCAAACACGGAGTTTCTGTCGCAGTATTTCAGGGCAAGAGAATTATCCAGGGCACGTGCAGGACTTTGTGCTATGCTGAGAACCCTCAGGACCCTGAGACACCGCCGTGCCTTGGGTGTTCCTTTATGGTTCCTTCTCATTCAACCTCCCTGGTAGGTGCTGGACAGGGGTCACCACATGCAGCATGGAGGCTGCAGAGTCCCAGATCTGATCCTTTCACTTGCAGATGCCCACTCAGCACCGGCCACCCCAGCAGTGTCCCTGAGGCAGGGCTCTGCAGGGCACATGAGGAGGGAGGGGGATCCGGACCCCATGAAGGCACAAGGAGTGACGTTGGTTTGACCAGCTCCAGGTAACACTGTTGTTCCCATTGTATCCAGGGGGTGGATGTTCAGAGACCGATGCTGCAGCAGTGTAAGCTCTCAGAGACCCAATTTATCACCAAGGGCATGTGAGGCACCGATGGGGAGGACGCAGCCTGCAATCCCTGCCTTTCCCAAGCCACTGGAGGGCAGGCCGGACGGATTCACGTTACCCGCAGCCACCAGGCAGGAGCCAGGACACCCAAGCCCTGGGCTGGCTCGATGCTCACTTCACCTTTCCCCACCGCTCCTGCTTAGACGGGGCCAGGACGGCGGCTTGGGCACAGCGGAGCCCGCGGGACCCAGCTCCTTCCTCCCCAGGGGACCCCCCCTGTACCCACCTGCGGCCCCATCCTCGGGGCGGGGGGTCCGAAGGCTTCCCCTGCACACAGAGGCTCCTCGCACGGAGCTGCGGTACCGCTCCTCCGCCTCCGGCTCCGCTGCGGCACAGAACATCCCCGTGAGGCACGGACCCCGCGGCTCCCCCGGCCCCTCGCCATGACCCGGGGCTCCCCCCGCACTCCAACAGGACATGGGGTGGCTTTATCCAGCGGGATTGGCATCCAACAGCTTGTGGGGCACATGAACTCCAGCCCTGAGCTCGGCTGGTCCAGAGGGACCTGCCTGATGCCTTCCTGCCCTCAGGAAGGGAGAAAGGGCCAGCCCTGAAACGGTGCCTGGAAGACCCACGGTGTGTGATGGATTGGTCCATGTGCAGATCAGGGCTCAGGCTTACAGCAGGGTGAAGATACCGGAGCATCAGGCTCCATGGTATCTGACAGACCAGTGCGTGGACAGCCCGGTGCACACAAGCACCAGAGATCCTCGTTGTTTGGAAGAAGCCCACGTAAAGGACTAACCCAAACTCAGAGATCTCTGGTCATTGGGCTTCCCCGCATGGACACACACACAATGCATCAGAACAACCAGAGCTCCACATGGTCTGAGGTTGCCCCTTTCACCTGAGAAGCTGAAAGGAGCAAAATACATCAGGTTCCCACTGCTCTGAGGTTTATAAACTCATTGTAGGGTCTAAGTCCTACAACACGTTAGGTAGGCTGCGGCATGATTCTGCACACACAGTGGTAATTGAGAGTATAAATGAGGTGAGCAAATACCCAACAGGTTTCCATGTGCACCAGGGGAAAGGCTGTGCTACAATAACTGTGCTCCTCCAAAGGTCTCTCTTGAAGCATCCCCTCTTCTTACCTACATTGAGTCTGGAATAAACACCTCAACACAATGTAAACAGCTTGGAATAGACGAATTTGAAAGCAATTAAGAAGTCTGAATCCAAAGGTTAAGCTATTTCAGCCCAAATTTGCCCTCGCTTTTCTGCTGTCTGACTGCAAACCCCATGTTCCTCAGCTTCCAAAAGCCTTTGCTCCTGGAGACACCATCTCTGGTGTCATCTTCCCTCTCAATGCTGTTTCCTTCCAAGACCACAAGGTACAGAAAAGGTGACCTCCTGCCTGACATCTGCAGATCAACCTCATCAGTGACAGGAGCTGGAGACTTTGTGCTGCTCTACGTCCCACATGTAAGGGCAGTGTATGGGCAGGAGCCAGGCTGCAGCTGGCTCCCAGTGTGATGGACCATGGTCCCCATGGACCTGGTGGGACGCAGCACATCCGTGTTGGAGTGCAGGGGCTTTCCTCACCTTCCAAGGACTTGTAACCCAGAAACCTGGCAATCTTTTGCTGGCAGTGCTCCTGCTCCTCATAGGTCAGCAGCTGGTAGATAAACTGCCAGATGACTTGCTTGGCCGGTGTGTCCAGCACCGGGTACACATCCACAATGAGAGTGTCAATGTTCCTGCAGGACGGGAAAGAGAGGGCTGGGCAGTGAGCGCATCCCTACAGCACAGCCCCGCTCCCCCGGGCTCTGCTGGGGCTCTGCCATTGGGCACTGGTGCAAACGGATCATTCCAGAGGTGTTGGACTATAAGGAAGGGATGAGCCCTTTGGGAAGTGGAGTTGTGCAGCTGGGGCTAAGGGGGAGCGTTGGGTGATCAGCAGCACCTGGCAGCCAGGGATAAAACCTGGTGCTAGGGAAGGACAGGTTGGGCTGATGGCTGAGGTTCACCAGGCTCAGTGCTGGGTCCTGCATTTGGGTCACAACAACCCCATGGAATGCCCCAGGCTTGGGAAGAGTGGCTGGAAAGGTGCCTATGTAAAAGGACCTGGGGGCATTGGCCCACAGCAGGTAAAGATGAGCCAGCAGCATGTCCCGGTGGCCAAGAAGGCCAAGAGCATCCTGGCCTGTATCAGCATAGCCGACAGGACCAGAGCAATGATTGTCCCCCTGCACTGCGCACTGGTGAGGCCGCACCTTGAATCCTGTGCTCATTACTGGGACCTCGTGACAAGAGAGACATTGAGGTGCTGGAGCAGGGCCAGAGAAGGGCAATGGAGCTGGTGCAGGGCCTGGAGCACAGGTGTGATGGGGAACGGCTGATGGACCTGGGGGGTTCAGTCTGGAGAAGAGAAGGCTCAGGGTGGATCTGATTGCTGCCTACAACTGCCTGACAGGAGGATGGAGTGAGGTGGGTCAGCCTCTTTTCCCAAGAAATAAGTAACAGGACAAGAGGAAGCATCCTTGATCCCCACAGCCAGCAGCTCTGGGGTGGGAAGCAGGTAAAACACTGCTGGAAGACCAAGCAGTGTGTGCTGCCCTGTCCTGGGATGGGAGCCTGGGGGCTTGGCTTGTGCTACTGGGGTTCATCCTTTTGCTGCTTGAGCAAGAGCAAATATCCTGCTAGGATCAGGTCTGTATTTCCCAGTTGCAGACCCCAGGGACTGGATCTGCTCTCACAGCTGCTGCTCCTCAGGCTGAAATACCCAGCTGGGGAGCCCTATAGGAGAGCACAAGCAATGATTTCTGCTGCCTTCCCCAGCAGCGCAGGCACAGCGGCAGCCCATCTGCATCCCGAGTGGGACCCAGGCTCCTGAGGAGCAGCACAGCCCAGCTCTGTGGGAAGAGGCAGAAGCATCACCCAGCACCGAAGGGGTGGCTCCTTCACTGTGGTGCAGGAAGGTTAAAGATCAAGGGCAGGAAACAAGGGCACTGCTGAAAGCCTGGAGTCTGCAAAGGGATCAGTTTCAACCCTTGCAGCAGAGCAGCGTGTGCTCCATCACAGGGTGAGGGCTCTGCCAGCCGCAGCATTCCCGCACTGCCACCAAGGGCGTGCTGCTGCTGAGCTGCTCAGAGTGAGAAGACAAGGATGAAACACTGGGAATTCACTGGAAGAGGTGGAACGGGGCTGTTGGGAACAGCCAGAGAGCAAGAGAGCCTGCAGCACGGGGGAGCAGGGTCACCGTGAGGGGTTTAGGGATGTGCTGCCAGCAAAGGGGTCTGCCTTCTGCTTGGGCATCACTACCAGGCTGGGTACCAGCACTAGAGGGATGGAGCTGCTGCCGAGTTACCGATGTTGGAAGAAGCCTTCCAGCGCCTTGCAGACCGAATAGCGCTCAGGGGGGGTCAGCAGATGCTCCAGCTGCTGCGTGAAGGTCCGTCCTTGGATCTTGATGCTAGAGGGGAGGATCTCTGCCACCCACTGCAGGGAGGTGAGCGCGGAGGAGCTGCTCGGGGAGTCGGCAGCGTCCGAGTCTGCAGGGCGCGGGTAGAGAGAGGAGAGACAATTGAACAGACGGAGGCTCCACCGCGGGTTTAAAGGCTGGTCCTGAAACCAAGGGGCCGAGCTGGGGATGCCGGGGCAGGTGAACACAACCGGGTTTGGTCAGTGGGCTGGGGACGGTCGGTCCTGTCTGTGTGCCCCCAGTCCCTGCCTGCAGCCGAAACACTCACACACCCTGGGCTCCACCTCCTGGTCCTCCACTTAAATGCCTCGGATAAGGGAGACCTCAGAGCGCGGAGCCTCAGCCCCATAGAAATACAAATCCTGATGTGCTGACACAGAGGTTGTGGCCACAGGGTAGAAACAAGCAGGTTTCAGGCACTGGAAGGCAGCATGGGGACAAGGTGGAAGGGCTCATCTGGAGCTGTGACTGCCCCTGCCTTCCTGGACCAGCTCCCTGGAGCTCGTGGCTGCTCCAGTAGGATCTGCTGGGCATGAGCTGGGATATTTTGACAGGGATGCTCTCTCGGATCTATCTCTTCACCCGTGCTGCTTCCCATTTTCTGTGAGCACATGCAGATGTTGTCCCTTCTCTGGCTCTCTAAAGCCTCTGCTCATGTTTTAAAGTACTTTATGATAATCATTGACTTCAAAAGCAGCATCAGTCGAGGGTTACCTCTGAGTGAACTGAGGCTTGGAAGGGCTTTTGCTTTCCCAGGCTCATCTGCACAGGTCACTGTGCTGCCTCTGCAGTGAGTGCAGGGCAATGCAGCTGCAACAAGGGACCTGACCGAGACCATGGGATACACTTATCCATATAGGAATATCCATGGGATGTGCTTATCCACTTAGGAATAGGACTAAAGTAGCAGGAGAAAAAAATCCATCTTTCCTTGGTTACTTCTGGGAGGCAGTGAAGCAGTTTGAGTGCCACTGCTTGGCAGTGTTAAGTAGTGAGGTGCTCAGGTTTGTTCCTAGCACACATACAAATGAGTTGGCATCACAGGGCTCCTAAGGTGCAGCTCTGGAGAGCCCATTTCTGCTCCAGAGGGAAAAGCCAGTCCCTAGTGCCCGCGCTGTGGAGCAGCATCCCAATAACACACCGCCCCTCCTGCCTTTGGAAACGCAGCAGTGGCCACGCTCTGCCCTGGCCTGTGGTCCTGTCCCTCTGCTCAAGCGGTGCTGACAGGCACCCGCCCGGCCCCAGCCGCCCTCCCCTGCTGCTGCTGTGCTCACCACACAGCTGAATTATTCATCCAGCAGCAGCTACTCCGAGCAGCAACGTCCACACACCACGAGGGGTTTGCACAGCGGCCATGGGTGCACAGGGTTGGGTTACTGCGGTCAAGTACACGGCACGGAAAGGACGTCGGCAAAGGCTGTCAAGGGCGATCACACAGTAGGGTGAGCCCTTCCATAGAGCAGCCAAGCCGGAGAGCGAGCCTGATCCCAGAAAGCAGGCGAGGGGAGCGGCGCTCCAGGCAGTGCATTGAACCTGCTGAGCCTGTGGGAGCTGCTTGGCAATTCCCACCGGGGGGAATTGGAGTTGGAGATCCAGCGAGGGGGTCCTGCAGCCCCAAACCCTCCTCCCTGGGCTCTTACCATTGGAGAAGTTGACGATCCCCTCTTCCACCACCAAGGTGGGCATCGCCCCGCTGCCCTGCAGCATCGACACCACCTTGTCATGGGAGCAGTTCCTGGGGACACAGAGAGGCAGGGTTAGGGCAGTGCTGTGGGCAGCAGCTCAGTGAGAGCAGCATTGAAGCAGAGCTTGCAGCCACCTCTCTTTGTCTTACAGAAAGCCTCCTCTCATTGCTCAGAGCCAGGCAGCACTGAGCCCCACGCTGACCCCCCCACACTCTCAATCTGTGCTTGGTTTTATCTGTGCTGCACAGAGGAGAGCCTCAATCACGCCCTGCGACTGAACCGGTGGTACTTTAAGCTGCTCTCAGACACAGAAGATGAGCTTCTCATTTCAATGGTGCCGTGCCGCGGGTCTCTCCTTGCCTGGCCTAATTCTGCAGCAAAGGAAAACGCAAGGTGGGTGTAAAATGTATTTTTGTAGGCAAAACCATCTCAGAGTGCCCTTGGAAAAGGGTACGGGCCGGCCTGGGACAGTGCCTGTGCAGAGGACAAACTTCAGCTCGTTTCTCCTCTATTCCCTGGCAGTGCTGCATCAGCCCCGGGTGTGCTGGTTCAGCTGAAACGTGAGGACCTGGGCACTGACAGAAGCAGCATCAGATGTTTGACCTTTAAATATTCATCACTCTCATCCTGCAGCCTCCTCTCATCCTTTGCTCTTGCTTTTTGGGTGGAAAGCCCAGCCCGAGGACACGCGGGCTGCTGGGGGGGTGCACGCTCACCTCTGGTTTGATTGCTGTGAGTAAATAGCACACAGAAGCATTAACTTCTGGGTGGAAATGCATTGCCCATGGTTCTAAGTTTATGATCCCGTTAGGGGAGCGATCCGTGGGCTGGCTGGTGCTCTGCTGCTTTCAAAAGCAGAGCCCCAGGGCTTTAACATGCCCAACATAACCCACAGTGGCTCAGATCAGGGTCTGGGGTGGGCTGCAGTCAGGACACCAGTTGCATTCAGTGCCATGCATTGTACATGGTTACTGGAACAGAGATGTCAAAGGAGGAGCAGGGATGGAGCTGAAACACCACTCGCAGAGCCAGTTTTCATAAGGGGATGTTAAAGGAGAGGTCCACATGGGCCAACCCCCCCGTGCACCTCAGCAGAGAGCTCTCAGGGATCACCAGGTCTCACTTGGGTTGCACAGGAGTGAACAATGAAGATGCCGGCGCTTGGCCACCTTCCACCCCAGGAGCCCTTGGCACAGGTCTTCTAAAGAGCCTCCTACCTCATGTCCAGGCCATTGAGGAATAGGATCCGATCTCCAGCTTTGAGGGCAGCCTTCTCCGCTGGGCTCCCTAAATCCACAGGGAACAAGAGGGGCTTTAGCTGGCAGATCCCTGCTCACAGGGATGGGTCCCAGCTCTCCGACTGCTCCATGGCCAGGGAAGCCCCCCCTGGAGCAGGGAATCCACGGCAGCTGGATTATCTGAGTGGGCTGGGGCCATTCACTGGGCACGGTGATGCCAGCACCCAGCTTGCATTGGAAATGCAGGTATGATTCCAGGCTATTCACTGCACATGGAACATTTCCCACCTTTCAAGGCAGGAAGTGCCTCAAGCCAGACCAAAATGCACCAAAGGCACCAGTTACTTTGCCCCTTTCCAGCCAACAGCAGGTACTGAAAGCTTCCAATTCAGACCCCAGATAAATCAGTGCCTGAATCCGGTGGCTGGGGGTTTCCTTACCTGGCAGCACAGACTCGATCCACACCGGGGCATGGCCACGCAGCGTGAAGCCGAAGCTTCTGTTGCCTTTATAGACCCGCACAGTTCTGCAGGGGAAAAGCAAGCGTGAAACCAGAGCCCAGTGCTTGGTTCTTGTTCCGTGCCCCAGCCCCTCCAGAGCCCTGGCATCGCCTTGGGGAGGGCTGGAGGGATGCAGGTGCCATCCCTTATGTGCTATCACCGCAGCCCTGAGGCAGATACAGTCCCCACTGGGTCCAGGCCACCCATGCTGGAGCTCTGGAGGGCTCCTTTAGACCCAGTTACTGCTGTCTGCAAGCTAAAGCTGACCATCCATTAACCAGGGCTCCAGCATGGGGAGGTTGGAGGGTCTGGAGGAGACAACAGCTCTTTAGGGCAAAGCCCCTGAGCATGGACTTTGACTCTACATTAAATATTGAACGTATAAATCCACCATCCAGCCCTTCAGATCCAACGTGGTTTTAAAGTGGGACGTGGGATACAGCTTGTATATTGCACAGAGCAGGAGACAGCGTGCTTCAGGGGCAAGGATCTCGTCGGCTGATGAGAGAGGAATTACATTCCACTAGGAAATTTTGGAAGGAGCATTAGGAAATCACCCTGCTGGGAGGTTGATTGGAGCTGGGAGTTGTTCCCTGCAGGAAGCTGGGGGGAAGCAACGTTGCTGAGATCATTTGCAAGCACAGAGCCTGTTGTAGGGCTGTATCCTGCGCTGTCAGGAAAGGAGACTGTGCCGGAGCTGGATTTTGGACCAGTCACACCAAAAAATTACCCTGGCAGGAGGTGGGATGCTGCTGAACTCCCTGCAGATACCAGCTGCAGGCAGGGGAATAGCTCGGGGCATGCCTGTGGCAGCACTGCCCATCCCGGAGGATTCCCCAGCTGTGCTGTCAGAGCAAATCCTGCTGGGAATGCAGCAGGAGGCACCGCCAGCTGAGCTCTGGCCACATGAGCAGTGGGAAATGGGTCAATCCCCTGTGCACCAGGGATTGTCCCTCTTTCGTCCTTCCTCCCATGGCCTCAAACACAGACACTCACTGGGGCAGGGCAGGACAGGACAGCACAGCCTGTTCTGTGCCAAGGTGCCTGGCACGGCCACGTATCCTGCATCCCATTGGCACGGCCAGGTACCCTGCGTCCCACCAGTACATCCATGAACCTTGCATCCCAATGGCACATCGAAGTACCCTGCATCCCACCAGCACTGTCAGGTACCCTGTATCCCACTGACACATCCAGGTACCCTGCATCCCACCAGCATGGTCAGGTACCCTGTATCCCACTGACACATCCAGGTACCCTGCATCCCACTGACATATCCAGGTACCCTGCATCCCACTGACACATCCAGGTACCCTGCATCCCACTGACACATCCAGGTACCCTGCATCCCACTGACACATCCAGGTACCCTGCATCCCACTGACACATCAAAGTACCCCACATCCCATTGTCACAGAAGCCAGCATCCCCTCACACCCTGCCGGTGCCACCTCAGCTCCTCCTGTGGCTCATCCCAGCCCGCCCTGCGACAGCGATGGGACAGAAAGAATGGCTCAGAGCTAGGACAAGGAGCACAAACATGCCCAGTCATCCTCACCCCTGTTGGATTCCACCCGCTCCTCACCCCAAAGGCATCCCCTTTCCCTGCCATCCCTCCACACAGAACCGGAGGCTGCCTCCATGAGCCCAGGGGCCCGCAGGAGCCGTGTTACCTGCGGGCAGCCCCCGAGGCCACATTGCTGGTGAGGAGCGAGGTGGATTTGCGCAGGCTCTTGCTGAGCTCCTCGTGGCTGCGGGGCACGGAGCTGGCGCGGGTGGAGACGAGGAGCCGCTCCTGGTGGTCCTCGCTCCGGCTGCGCCGCAGGCGGTGGCTGTGCTGCTGGCTCTTGGAGCGGCAGAGCTTGCTGATGAGGCTCTGCGACACCACCTCGTCGAACCGCTGCCGGTGCTTCTTGGGGATGAAGATCCTGCAAGAGTGACCCCAGGGAAGGAGTGAGGAGAGCGGGGCAGATGTGGCCCGGAGCTCCGGATCCAGCTGTAGCTGGGAGCTCCGGCTCCTCCTGCGCCCTTGGCCTCAGTCCTCGCAGAGATGGGGATGCTGGGGACACCAGGGATGCCAGCGGCATCTCTTGCCCCATCTCGTGCACGGCTCTAGCAGGGTGAGGATGTCAGACCTCTCCACAGCACTGAGACAGATTCAAACAGCCCAGACAGGACTCCACATTCCCTGGCTCCAGCCTTGGCTGTTGCCACCCTCCTGCTATGGCCAGGAAGGACCCTCACACCCCTTGTGAGATGCTGATGCTGCGGGGATGAGGATGCTGCAGACAAGGGGACAGCACTGAGAACTTGCTCTGCTTCAGGTCACACCCCCCCCCCCGCCTGATAGGAGCTGCTGTGCCAGCAGCCAAGTGGCCCTTGTGCCCCCTGAAAGGACCCCTGAAGCCTCAGTGGATGCAAAGTGGGATCCTGGGAGGAGGCCACATCCGCACTGCTCCCACCTCAGCCAGGGTGTCACCTCTGTAACACCCCGAGACACCTTTCCTTTCCCTTCTGCCACCACAGCAGTGAGACACCGACACCCCCTCACCTCCTCCCACCTCCCGTTTGCACACTTTGGGGCTTCAGGAGGAGCTGTTATCTCCGGGTGTTTCTATAGCAACTCCACACCGGGCTGCTCCTCGCAGCTGCGTTAGACAATAGCATCTTGTGCGGTTCATTAGCGCTCATCACCTCGTGGTGCAGGAGGACACGCTCCCTACATTAGCACAAACCCAGACACTTGTGCTGCGGGAGGGATGTGAGCATCACCTCAAACTGCCCGGGGACCTCATCCCCTGGGGAGCATTAACTGGGGCAAACTCAGTGTCACAGGACCCACAGCACCTTGCTTTATGGGGCCGCATTGGATGCAATGAAAGTGGTTGGAGAGGCTGGGGCTGGCATCGGTCCCCTTCCTCAGGCAGTGTCACCAAAGGAACCCAAAAGCCTGGCTGAAGCCAGAGGAGAAGGAAGGGGAAGCTTCAAACCCTAAACCTCCTGTGACCAGGACATCTCTGTTTTCCCCTAACAAAAGGCAGAACTCACAATGAGCTCTGATGAGTGGGAGCAAACAGATCGCCACCATCCCGAGCCTGGCATACGCTCCCACAAAGCATTTGGTGACGATTTAAAATAAGCAACACGCTGGTACAATTCACAATCACTTTGTGATCAAGCAGCAACTAGCAAAGAGTGAGGTGATGCCAACGGATGCTCCAAACTCAGCGGTGAGCAGGCTCCTATGGGACCGCAGCCCTGTGGCGGGGAAGGATGCAGGGGAGCAGTGAGTCCCGGCCGGATCCCACACCTCTGGCCCATGCTGGGCTCCCACCAGGGAGAAGTCCGGGTTCCTTGCAGGGAAAACCGGCACGTTCCCATTTCAGTTGGCCAAATTAAGCTGCCCTGCTCGCTGCAGCGGGGCTGCCCCACTTTGAGCTGCCTGATGCAGACATCGGGGCTGAGGAGTGAAGTACGGCTGAGCTCCATAACCAGGCGAAGGACAGGCTTTAGGGATGGACTGACTCAGTGCTAGGGGTAAAGCGGTGCCTTAGCAAGGAGAGGAGCTCATTGGTAATAATAATCCCACTAAAGCATGCAAAAGGGTTTCCTTCTGCAAAACCCTCTGAGAGGAGCTGCAGTGCTGCTGGGTGCTGGACCCCCAAGCTCTGGACACCCTGTGCTTCAGCAGGGGATGCCTCCGAGCTGTGGGTGCCAAGGTCTGGTCCTGAACAAGGGACCCTCCAAAGGTAGCACATGGGATGTCATTAGACAGCGTTGGTGCTTCAGCCTGTCCTCTGCTCCAGCACAGTGCCCAGTGCTTCATGAGGAACCGTGGCTATTTCTGCACCTCCCTGCAATCCCATGGGATAAACCTGCCTTTGCCCATCAGCGTGGCACCGAGGAGCAGCACCCAGATGGGGTTTCCCTCTCCCAGCAAATCCCACTGGGATGCAGGGAGTATGGATGCGCCCACCCTGTTTGGGCAGACAGGGAGGGCTTGGGATCTGTGCAGCGCTGACCTCTTGCCTTCAGCTTCCTCTTCCTCCTCCTCAGGTGCTCCAGGTCAGCCCTGGCTCTGTTCCCTGTTGGAAAAGGGATGGGAAAAGCATCCCCAGCCCATGCTCTGAGTGTGAATTCAGGGTCTTTTCCAGGCCAGGAGAGTCTCCAGAGGTGCAGGATGCTTTGCCGTCTATCTTCCTCAGAAGCAGCCCCGCTGGGGCAGCAGCACAATGCTGCAGGATGGTCCCCATCCACTCAGCTCCCTGCTCTGGCCCTCATCTTGGTCTTAGTCACACTCACTGCTTTTGAAATCCAAGACAGGCCCCTTGCAGCTCCCCTCTGGACAAACATCCCTGTTCCTGCAGCCTGTGCTCGCTGACAACCCCACACCATGGAAAACCACTTTCACAAGCACCCAGGTCCTGTGATGGGCACCCAGCTCATGCGGACGGTGCTGCCCTGGGATGCTGGGTGCTGAGATTCACCAGTGCCAACCGCATCCCCTTAAGCAGGGCAGTGGTGGTGGCTCCAGCCCTGGTGGGAGCAGGTAGAAGCAGCTCCAAGTTTGCTCAGAGCTCGTGCTCAGCCAGGGCTGGGAGCAAGAGGACCCCAATGCTCGCTCCATCACCCCCTGCACCACGCAGCACCCCCAAACCGCATCCTCACCACCCGTCCTTTGCTGGACCACAGCGATGGAGACAAAGCAGACCCAGATGGGCTCTTCCCGCCTCCCCCCAGCTCCCACCCCAATTTTCCACCTGAGCTTCACTCAACTGCCCCCAGCAGCTCCCGATGAGCCTCCACGACACCACCTCGTGCGAGGGACATCGCGGGGACGTTTCCCACCACAGCCAGCACCACGCGCGGACACGTACCGAAAATGCCGGGAGAAGCTCCGGTCCTTTCCCATTTGTCAGGGTACAGCAGCGGGAACAAAGGGGAGACGCTTCAGATCCTCATGCAGCTGAGCCTCAGCCTCGGCTCACGCCCACGACGCGGCCGGATCCAACAACCAAGCCCTGCGCCAGCCGGTGCCGCCCTGGCACTTGTCACCCCTGCGGTGCGCGGGGACGCGGCCAGATGGGCCGGCGAGCAGCAAACCCGACCTGTGCCGAGCCCCTGCCTGCTGCCCGCCACGCACCCAGCCCCGGCTGGACCGGCACCATCCACCCCGTGCCTCCTGCTGAGCAATGGGGCTCCAGTGCCTGCTCTGCCCTCCCTGCTCCGGCTCCAGAGCCGCTTGCCTGCCCTAAGCGCTGCAGCCGCTGCGATGTGTATCTGGAAGGATCTCGCAGCAGAAAGGAGGGCACGGCTCGGCGCCGAACTCCAGGGGGGATGCCTCCCTGGTGCTAATTAGTTGACTTCTAAAGTGCTTCTGTTTAAATTACATGCTGCAATAACGGGTGAGAAAGCTTAAAGGCGAACGGCATCAGCGGCGGGGATGTGGCAGGTGGAGATGCCTTGGACCAGGACCGGCACCAGCATCAAAACCAAGGGCCCAAAGCTCTCCCCATGCTCAGAGCATCATTTAACACAGCAGCGCTGTGCGTTAAGGGTAGAAGATAATAAACCCCACATCTTTAATTTAAATAATGCCGTCTTTAAGCACAGCGCTCGCGTTTGATGAAGAGGATGTGAAGCTTCCCGGAGCTGCCAACATCAGACGTGGTCTCCGGGTAGCAAAGGAAGGAAAAAAGAGAAGTGGATGGTTTAGCCCCAAACCAACAAGCAAAGGCCTGACCTTGAGTCTGTCAGTTGTGCAGAGAAAAACACATCCCAGGGTGGATTAAAGCACTGAGCCACTCTTGGACTGGGTCTGAACTGCGCTGTGTAACAGCTCCCAGTCTGGAGAAGCGCTTCTCCACAGTGCGCTGCAGTGCTGGAATTCATGCACTCTGGGCAGGGAAAACCCTTGCACAGCCTTACCCAGTGTCAGGACTTCTGCTTGTGAACCTGTACTGATTTGATCCATCCTAACCGACCCGCGTGCAGCCTTGCACTGGCCTCCAGCCCCAGCAGCACCGACAGCCCCAGGGGACATGGAGCATCCGAACCCTCCTGCACGAGCGGGACCCGCTGCAGCCCAGCAGCGAGCTGGACCTGCAGCTTTCACAGGGGCTGTTATCCCGTTATCCCCGGTAATGGAGGCTCCATAATCACCCCTCTGGCTGCAGATGTTTTGCAGATGTGGCCGTTGTTAACATTAAATAGGAATGAAGGTGCTTTTGCACCCGAGAGCACAGACACCGGTGGGATGCAGAGGCTGCACGTGGGGTTCAGGAGCCTCTCACAGCCATTCTCCAGCCACCCCACTGCTTCCTGGGGACAACCCAAACCCCTGAGCCCCACACAGGGGCCTTTGGGGAAGGTCACCCTCTCCTGACCCATCCCTACACCGGCTCCAGTGGTGATTGATGCATCAGCTGCTGGTAAGGGCCTCCCTGGAGCAGCTCCGCAGCCCATGCCTGGCTGGGGTCACCTTCCCCATCAGCCCTGGGGGCTTTCACCTCTCCCAAACCCAGTGCCCCTGTGTGCGAACCAAGAGCAGGTGGCTTTGTCCTTCCCTGGCAGGGACAGACAGCCCTGAAGCTGCTGGGGACCTTCAAAGAAGCCCCCAAAAAGCACCAGCATCTCCTGTGTCACCTCCTGCTTCCCGGAGCCACAGGGAGCAGCCTCCTCAGCCCACTGTCCCCAGCCTGCTTTCTGCTGGCAACAGCAGCACAAACACAGCTTTCCGTGTTCTGTGCAAGGTGCTGGCACACTCAGACCACGTAACCACTTCCCAAAAGGAAAGAGGTGGCTGGGTGCTGGGGCACAGGCAGACCAGGCTGCTGCAATCCGCGCTGCAGCCATGGTTTGATTGTCAGAAGAATCTGATCTCCATTTGCACCGGGGCATTTTGGCCATGACCTATTTGAACTCCGCCAATGAAAACGGAACTCTGCTCCCCAATGTTTCACTGCTGGCACAGTTTTTATCCCTGCTGCCCTAATTCCCTTTTTTTCGGGCAGCTGAACATATGCTGGCCCCTTGGATTAGGGATTCTTTAGAATGGAAACAAACCAGAGCTGCTTTTCCTCCATCCCCAGAGGCTCTACGCAGGCAGGGGGACAGTGTCTGTGTGTGGTCTGAGGTGCTGCATCAGCCACAGCCAGAGTGATGTGGGATGGGGGGGTGTCACCCAATACAAGCTGCACCAGTGCCCGAAAGACCTGGAAAGCTGCCCCCAGCCCTAGAGGAGTGGGTACATGGAGGGGACCACAAGCAGGGAAGCAGCACAACCCGTAACATATAAATCCCGATGGCTCAAATGAAATTTCTTATCCAAAGACAGTCACAGATGGCTGGAGCCTTTTAATACGGGAACATGCCAAGCGCTGTTATTGCTGTGAAAAACAAGCTGAGACAAATAGATCGTGTTTGGAGCGCCGTTAAAATGAACCCGATGGAATTTCTCCCGTTATAAGGGAACCCCTGATGGGCAGTGATTTTATCTTTGTCACTGATCAAAAGGGACTGCAACCAAAGCAGCACTCGCCCAGCCCAAAGGGCCAGCAACTTGAGCTGCTCACTTTGGGTTTCCCACTGGGACAGAGGCTATTTGGGAAGCAAACAGACCATAACCAAAGCAGGGAAGTAACAAACTACCCCAACTGCTCTCCCTGCAGCAGAGCGAAGCACAGCATGGCTCAAAGCAGATCCATGACAACACAGAGCAGTCCAAACAGCCCGAGAGTTATCACCTAATGAATTAATGGGGCCAGGGTGAGAGGTTGGATGTGCTCCCGAGCACACCCGCATCCCGCTATCCAAATCCAGGTTAATGGGACGATGTCCAGCGAGCGTCAACACCGGTGCTTTATGCACCAGCTTTTGTAACACTGCAGGTGAGTGGGGACGAGTGGACCTGTGTCCCCATCGCTCCCCAGTTCCCATGCAAAAAGGTAGTTCAGACCTAAACGCAATGCAGAGCACTGGGTGCAGAGCACTGGGTGCACAGCACTGGGTGCAGAGCCGGTGCCGTTCCTCTGCTGGAACCACAGCTGTACCCTGCTTTGAAACCAGCCCAGAAAGAAGAGCAGAGCCAAGGCTCTCGCCCCTGGGACCCCGGCGTGCCCAGGATAACCCGCTCCCCTCCACAAGCCCTGCACACACACTTGGTATCACCATGGGGAGCAGGGGAGACAAACCCCGCGGCTCCCCCAGGACCAGACCCAGGCTTTGCTGTTTGCAACCACAAGACAAGAGGTTCCCTCTCCCCAGCAGCTCCCCGACAAGAGCAGCCCCGCCGCCACACGGATGCTAAGAGTTAATTAACTTTTAGCACATCTCGCCTTTGCTGGGTTTGAGAATTAAGCTCTTTAAAAGCCGTTCCCCTCCCAGCCTGCCAGGAAAGGTCCATCCTCTACTCACCCGAGACAGCTCATCTTCCCCCCTCGCTGCCGTATTTCATCCTTCTTGAGCAGAACCACGGTTGTGCACTTTTACTACAGCCATATGGGCAGGGGATGGGAGCGGGGAGGAACTGGCGCAGCACGTGTGTTATCCCTGCTATCCACAGCCACAGGGATGAGGAAAATGTCAGCAAATTAAAACCTGCAGGAGCTTAATTCTGGGCAAACGGGATGGAATCCGTCTGAGCTAAAGGGAAGTAAACAAACCAGCCCACCAGTGCTGGAAACAGCCCAGCTGGAGGCGAGCAGAGGAGAAACATCTGCAGCCCTGGGTCGATGGAGTCGGGGGGTCTTGGGTTACGCTGCGCTGCTGCAGTCTGCAGGGAGCACGTTAAACCCCGGGGGGGACAGGAGGGGAGGGAGGACAGAGCAGCACCAACAGCCTGAAAATAAACCCAGCTGGTGCAGAGGGAAGATGCAATGAGGCCAGCGTGAGGGTCAGTGGCACATGGGGATGTAGCGGCCGCTGGGCTCTGCATGGCAGGGGGCACATGGGCACCTAGAGTGGGACACCAGCATGCACCCCATGACAGGGCTTGAACAGCAGGGAGAGCGTTGGGGACCCCTGACCATCACCCTCATCATCGCTCCCTCGTCCCTGGCTGAAGGGCATCACCGTCACTGGAGGGAAGGGTGATCCCAGCCCCTCAGTTTCCTATCAGCTGCTCTCCTCTGGGCTCTGCAGGGCAGGAGGCACGGGTGGGCTGAGGGAGTGTGATTCCACCCCAGCATCTTGGGTGGAAACAGCCCAGAGAGCTGGGCACAGCCCCACAGGGCCGCCAAGGCTGGACGGGGGGTACCCGTGTGGTCACAAGCCCATCCTTGAATGGATCCATGTGCCTGCAAGGGTTGTCCTGCAGGATGAGCCCCAGGCAGCTCAGATGGGATCCATATGCACCTAAATTGCACCAACACACACCGCTGCCGGGGGGTGGCTGCTCTGCACCCTGGGAGCAATGGGACAGCCACACCATGGGACAGCACCCCATCCCAGTGCCAGAGATAGGATTCCCCCATGCACAAACCTCCCAGCACAACCCTTCCCCAGTCCCAGGATGCTGGCTCAGGGCACAGAGCCCAAACCCCTCAGTCAGTGATGGACTAAACTGGCTCAAGCCATGGGGAGCACCCAGGAGCTGCCCACACCTTTCAGAGGGTTATTAAAAGCATTAAAAGCTCTTGCTCAGCACCAAACCCATCAGATGGGGAACTCCAGGATCAGCAGCTCATATTGGGTACAGCAGCGCACACGGAGCTGCCCCTGGCTCCCCAGCACCCCGCAGCTGCAAAACCAGCTCCCAAAGCACCTTGATTTTTTATTGTCCTCACTCCATTAAGATTAAATGGTAAATCTTGTCCCTAAGCTGAATATTTCATTTCCATTAAACCAAGATCAGCTTCCTGACACACGGCGCGTCTTGCCCCACCGTTAACCCTTCACACAGGGGCATGGGGCAGCAGCGGGGTTTCAATGTGATACCAGGGGGGCTGTCCCGTGGTGCTGCCCCATGGCATACAGGGCTGGCCATAGGGATGTCAGCACCGGGTTCAGCCACATTCTCCTCTGCTAACATGGGGGTCACTGGGATGGGGATATTCTGAGGGAACCTGCTGTGCCCCTGCAGATGGGCTTGGGTCCGGAGGAAATACTTGGACACTTATTCAGATCCCCTCTGAGCGGGAAATGATCCTGTGTAATTATAGGGAATATGTAATTATATGGGATATGATAATCCCCTCCGCATGCTGGCTCTACAGGGCTCTGTGCCCGTCCCCACTCCAGTACAGGGGGGGTCCAGCTGACCCGTGTTCAGCCACAGCAGAGCATGGGGACACTGCATGGCAAGGGCCACTGCCCCGCTCTTCCCACCATCCCCATCACTGGATCATCGGCTGGCGGCAGGCACGGTGGAGACCCCGGCACGGGGACGTTGTTATGGTAACCGTAATATCTCGCAATTCCACTGATTAAAGCAGGAATTGGAAAGCCGGGCCCAGAGTGCAGCCAGATGGAGACCTGATTCCCTAATGGCCATCGTCTCAGCCCGGCTGTAATCCCCGCCACGTGTCCGTGCGCTGCCCTGCACTCCACACTGCAGCAAGAGCGGGGGACCCGCTACACATCCGCTGTGCCAGGGGCTCAGGAGCTGCCCAAACCCAAGCAGAGCATTGCCAGAGCATCCCGGGATGCTGCGGGCAGTGCCCATGGTCCCAACAGAGACACCCCCCCCCCAGCTGCCCCTCACCTGGGTTATTTCCTGGCCAGGCTCTTGAAGAGCTGCCAGCCCTTCTGCAGCCAACCCCATCTCCCTTGGGAATGACAGCCAGAAACGGGAGCCACATCCGTGCTGCAGGAGGAGGTGTGAGCACTGCAGGGATGGGGATGGCAGGTGGCTGGTACAGTACAGGTCCCCGATCTCCTGGGCCGTGCTCAGCACCCACAGGCTGATGGGCACCCATGGCTTATAGACCAGCACAGGAGGTTACTGTCACCCTGTACCTGATGCTGTCAATGAGATGCTGGTGGGACTCCTGGGTGAGGACCATGCAGAGGGCATAGGCCAAGTATTCCACCTTCCGCTCCGCTGCGTATTGCTTCAGGACAGTGAACACCTTCTCCTTCACCTCCGGCTGGTCACCGAGGATGTCATCCACCTGCAACATGGGAGCCGGGAGAGGAGAGGGAAGGGACATTGAGCAGAGCAGGTAATGGTATGTATGGAGGCACTGAGGGTGCAGAAAACGCGTCCATCTCATCGCAGCACCCAGTCAGCAAAGAGGGAGCACGTGGGGAAGAAGGAGAAACACCAGACACCAGCCCATCACACAGCACTGCTGGGGTCCCCCACATGTCCCTGGTGGGGCTGTTCTGTGTGTTGCAAACATTGCAGCAGGACAGAGAGGCTGTGCCATGGCCAGGCTGGGATCTGGCTGATCAGTTTGGAATCTGCCTTCCACTGCAATAGGCTTTTGGAGGTGATGCTTGAAACAGCATCAGCAGCACCAAGCTGCTGCCCCGTCCTCTCCACCTGTGACAGCCCTGGCAGGCGGAGCAATCAGCTAATCACCACCCAGCCAATCACCCCCAACGGGACCCTCCTTATCAGCCCCTTCCCAGGCCGGGGGCTGCTCTTTGGCCTGGGGTTGTGCTGGATGGGGGATGCTGGTGCCTGCAGCCCGGCTGCATGCAGTGAATGCATGGGGTGCAGAAGCTCCCTGTGACTGCCCTGCAGTCCCTGTGTGCAGTGGGTTTTCCTGCAAGGTGATGGGTTTGTGCTGACAGCAGCTCCGTGAGCACAGGGGGATGCAGCAGTGAGGGCAGCAGAGCCCTTCACCCTTCCTTGGTGTGCATCCTGCAGCAGCACTGCATGGGAACCAGCAGCCATCACCCAGCCAAGCCCCTTGCATCATCTGGGAGCAACCCTCATCCAGGGAAGAGGAAGAACCGAGTCTTCCAGGTGCTTGTCCCACTTGGCAGCTCCCATGGGAGGCTCGGTGCTGGTGCTGTCCCCCCACTGCAGCCCCCTGGGTGCTTTGGGTCTGCGCAGCCGCCGGCAGCAGCGCTTCAAGGTTATGGAATCTGGGGCACTCGCATTCTCTTGGGCTCACTCGTGTGCTGCTGAGTCCCAAGGTCCAGCTCTGAAATGCAAAGGACCACGGTGCTCCTGGTGGGATGAATCCTGGGGTGCTGCTGTGAAATGTTTGCCTGGGATGGGAACCCCAGGGCTTGGTGGCTGGGAATGGGGTTGCTGCTGCCTCTCATGTCAGTGCAGTCCCTGAGCATGCTGGGGACAAGAGGAGACGACCTGGAACTGGGACCGTGAGCACCTCCATCACAGGAGCACTGCACCAGGAGCACCAACCAGAGCTGAGCTCCCAGGTAAAGAGGGGTGAAGTGTTCTGTTACTCTCTGCATCATGTCAAAAGATGAAGCCACTTAAATCACCCCCCATTAACTCCCTCTGGAGAGGTGCTTGCCCACTGGGCTGTGCTCCAGCACCCAGGAGCCAGTGGCACGCGTGCTCCTCAAACCCACTTCTGGCCGAGGCAGCTTTGCTGGGCAAGGAAGGGATGCAGCAGAGGTGCTGCTGTGGGAGCTCGCAGCACCATGAGCATCCTGCTGGCTCCAAAAGTGCTCTCCTGTGCCCATCCAGGAAGTGTTTACTCGGTTTAATGTGACTTCAGGAGATGGAGGCAGCGTGGAGCAGCCTCCCAGCCTGTTGTGAATCTCCTGTAACCAGCAGGTATCTGTTTCACACGCGATGCTTTTTCTTATGAATCCGAACCTCAGCGCACGCTTGTGAATCTTTAATGCAGAAGCTGACTGAGGGGATTCAGCTGATACCTGCAAATCTCTTTATGAATACCTTGTTCCTTTATTAACTCAGGATCCAAGAACCCTCAGCCCTGGTTATTCTCGTAACAGTATCTTAAAAGGCCACTTTGAAATGGAAATTAGAGAGATTAAAAAAAAACCAGCCATGATCAAAATTACAGTCAGCGTGAGGAGATGGGGTTGGTAAACTGCCCACTAGGAAGCTTTCAGGAACACAATGAAGATGTAATCATGTTGATGCTTTGTCTCTGCAACAGAGCTAAAATGTCTGTGGGAGGATGTGCAGGAGATGGGGATCTGCCCCTGTGGGCTTCCACATGCTCTTGTAGTGCAAAGGAACAAGCCCTTGGGGTCAGCACCCAGAGGGTCCCCAAGCTCTTTGCAGCACCCATCTGTTCTCCATGGGGTACTGAAATACAGGTGGTTGTCAGAGCCTTCTCTTGGGTGCTGATGCCCCACATCTGCTGCTCAATGCCATGACCAAGCCAGGAGCATCCCCATGTCCCAGCACGCTGCACAGGCTGGACGTGGGGATCTCCAGTGCCTGCTGCAGAGGTGCCCAGAGCCCCACAGCCCATCCTTACCTTCCTGCTGAACTCCTGCGCTTTCTGCCTCCTCTCCTGGTGCACGGCATCAGCGCTGGGGATGGGGTCCCGTGTCCCAGCCCCACGCTGCGGCCGCAGCAGCCCCAGCTGCAGGGACCGCCCGTGGCAGGACCCCACCAGGGCAGCCACAGCCTCGGGTAGCATCACCGGCATCCCATTGACTTCCAGCACGAGATCCCCCGGCTCCATCCCACAGGCAGCAGCGGGAGAGTCCGGGCTGACCCCGGCCACTCTTGGGGGGCTGCCGCTCGCCAGCTCGAAGCCGAAGCATCCCCGTGGAGCGGGGGGGATGTGGAGGTGCTGCAGGCGCGACACCACCCCGATGCTGGGGGGCACGTTGGGGCAGCGCCGGGCCAGCGCCAGCAGCGCCGCGCAGCCCAGGGAGGACACGGGCTGCCCCTCGATCTCCAGCACCTCATCCCCCGGCCGCAGCCCTGCTGCCGCTGCGCTGCTGCCTTCCTGCACCCAGAGGATGTAGCATGGACCAGTCCCCGTTATCTTGAACCCGAAGGCCTCGGGCCAGCCCTGGTTGGTCGCTGGCATGGCTGCGACTGGAAAAGAAGGGAAAAACAGGAGCTGTGGTGTTTTCTATCCTTAACGTCAGTTCTTGTAGATGCCATGTGGGTCCCATTGGGTGTGGGGGTGCTGCACGTTCAACTGTGGGAAGAAATGCCCCAATGGGGACACTTTTCCTCTATATTTCGCTAAAAAATAGCTTTTATTCTTCCACCATAAGGCTGCCAGCAGTGCCAGTGCCATTAGCAGTGAGGAAGCTGCGCTGGCTGGATGGTGGGGGCTTTGCCTGGCACCAGGGCCATGGCCTTGCACAGCCTGTGTCCCACTGGAGGTGGCACATTCCCCACCTCCATCTCACCAGGAGGTGTCTTTAGGCTCCTGCGTGTATTTATTTGTGTATCAATCAAACTGATTATTTCATTTCCCTGGCACGTCCCATTAATGAACAGGTCATCCAGTGGCTTCAGACAGCCTGGTTTTAACCAGCTCTTTGCAATACCCAATATTGGAGCTGGTTGCAACAGCGAGATTAACACAAATTCATTCGAATTTGTCAGATGCTCTCAGTTCTTCCAGGGGTATTTCTCTGTGTCCTGTGTCCAGGATTAACCTGATCACAGCACCCTGAAATGCAAAGACGAGGATTCTCAAAAGGACTTGTTTGTGGTTACTTTGAAGGGTCAGGACCGGCGCCATGGATGCTCAAGGAGAAAGCGGGCACATCAGCCCTCAACATCTGCAGAAGTCATCTTTGCCCCAGGTAAATCGGAGCAGCTGATGTGTGCGGCTCACTTGGATGCCCTTTCCATGCTGCCCATGTGTAAGTACCTCTGTGGATGGCTGACGCTTGCTGTAATGATTTGCATGTAGATTTTCCCTTCATTTGATCTCAGCTGTCTGCAGAGATGCTTTTTACCCCCATGTTTGTTCCATGTGTGCTACTTAGCATGTGTTAAACACTTACAAAATGAAACACAGCCTGTTTTACCTGGGCAAACTATCTTACAGAGACTATGAGGACTCAGCATTGCTCCAAAGTAACATCCTCACTAACGCACCTTGAGTTTTGTGCCCTTCAGATCAAAAAGCCTCAAACACAGGCTCAGAGGCACAGCCTAAAGCTGCCTTTTGGTTCATCCCCTTGGACACCTCCGAGGGTCCTACTTTCCTCTGGTCCATGCTGCTGCCAGCACAGCAAAGGCATCACCTCCCACCTCCACCTCAGTGGGCAGCTTGGCTTTGATCTGAATGATCAAATGACTTTTCTTCTGCTCCTTTCAGACCTGGGAAATACTGGTTTATACCCTATTACAGACCAGGGAGATGAAAGGAACTCTTCTCAAGTCCATTTTCAGCAGAGGTAATACAGACCAGCTTGCTCTGAGAGCAGAATCGCAAGGATGGGCAGGGAACACAGCAGAAATCTGTGTTAATAACCTGAGCCTGCTCTGCTCTTGCAAACAGCTGCTCAAGGCTGTATGAGAGAGCACTAGATGTGCTACCTTCATAAGGAAATAATGAAAAGGACCAAGCAACGTGCTGTTGCTCACATTAGAAGTGTAATAATCTTGTCCTCCTCTGTAGAGCAGTGCTGATTAAAATGCTATACAAAATCGGGGATTACTGCTACTTTTTAAAGAGGAAATAAAGCCATTGCCCATGTTAACAGGTACAGATGCGAAGGTCCGGAGGAGAAGTGTCCAGGGTGAAGCACAGGGCAAGGCTGGCAGCAGCAGGATGGAATCATCTGCAGCTGAACACCAGGACACAAGCTCGAGCACTGAAGGCTCCAGCAAGCGCCCAGTAGGCACTGGGACAGCGCCAGTGCTGCCGCTCTGGGCTGAGCTCCACAGCAAAGCCCAGCAGAGCAGCAGCCATCGCCTCGCTGCATCACCCCTTCCACCTCTGCACCCTACGCTTGAGCACTTACAGAAGTCTGCAGCCATCCACGCGAGCCTGGCGGGCCCTCACCAGCAGCAGGTTGGTCCCGCTGAGGGGTTGGTGCTTTCCTGGTCCTCCTCCATCACCCCTGGAAGCTCTCGCTGGTCCAGGGGTGGGCAAACGGCTGCTGCGCCATGGAGCTGGGGCAGAGCCAGGGTGGCTGCTCCTTCCCAAGGCTTCTTACTCAAGCCCTGTGCCCTTCCAGTGGCTCCCTGTCAGCCCCAGGAGGGCAGAAAGGGCTGGTTTGCCTTTTCCTGTTCTAATTAACTTTATTTCCATAGCAAAGAGAAGGAAGGACAAGCTAATTGCTGTGCTGGTCCTGGCTGAGTCTAGGGCTGAGCTGAGCCTGCAGATCTGGGGGGAATTAGGAGCTGGAAGGAGGTAAAAGAGATTAGTGGCCATCCCTCACCCATAGGGCGAATCTGAAGAGACAGCACTTTGCCAAGCAGCAGATGCAGCAGGTATGTGGATGTGCTGAGACCTCCTCGCTGGCCCCATCACTGCCGGTTTGAGCGGGACAGCAGATTTCGGGAGTGTGATTCTGTCAGATGATGCAGGGTTTGCTGCAGGGATTTGGGGGCCTGGACCAGGCTGCTCCATGCAGGGTCCTCACAGCAGGAGCAGCTGGGAATGTTTCCCAGCAGATTTCCCCCCCCGGCACTGTTTGTTAAGCTGCTATTTCTGGTTTTCTCCTCTGCTTCCTCAGCACTGAGGGATCCCAGGGCTTAGCACACTAAGAGGGTTTAGGGTATTACACATCCTGCTGCGGCACCAGCAGGAGCGGTCATCTGCATCCCATCCCCGACAACACAGCAACCCCTTGGTCTTCCCTTCGCACTGGTGTGGACTGAGCTGTCAGCAGCGATGGGCTGAAGGGAAAACAACCCTTCAGGAAGCCCAGAAGCCTTCTCCTCCTGTCCTCCCAGCCCTGGTGCTGGTGGTGCTCTGCTGGAGAGGGGACATGGCTCCACTCTCACAGGTTCTGTACATGCACAGATCTCCTTCTCAGCAGCTGAGATGTTCGGGCAGGCACTGGGGGGAGCATGCACTGCCCTCCCGTGTTGACACAGAAATGCACACACCTCCTGCTCAGGGCATCGTCTTCACTACCCGCTGCCCAAACAGGCAGGCAAAACTGTGGTGGTTGTGAGCAAGTGAAGCAACTGATAACAAAGCCCTTTTCTGGCTGTTTGAAGACCAGGAAGAGTGGATGGAGCTTCTCAGCAGTGCAGGTGATGGTGCCCTGCTTGCTAACACTCACTGCAGGCAGCTCCAGCACCCAAACCCTGCCTGTAGACAAAACAACCTCCTTGTGTCCATGCTGATGCCATTCACCCATCCCAGGACCCCTTCTACGCTGCCAAACTTACCAGGTTACATCCATCATCCCAACAAAACCTACCATTGTACCTGGAGCAGTGCAGGAATTCCGGTGTGTCAACAGGGAGGAAACAGCTTTTCACTACAGCCTCTCTCAGGAGCAAAGCACCTCGGGCTGCATTCCAGGACCCCTGTACCCTGGTAATGTTTTGGGTGCATTTCTCTCCTTTAGGGTCTGGTTTAGCGCATTGAGGGGAAGGAACTTACCAGGGAAAACAAAGTCCCCTACCTGAAACAGCCTCACCTGATGCTGCACCTCAGCCAAGCCAGTTAGTGGCCTCTTGGTGCCAATGCCGCTGTGCCTCAACCACTCCTCTTGGTACCCAAGCATCCCGAGCATCCCTCGGGGCTTACCTGCGGTGCCCGGGATCCAGCCAGCGGGACCCCCGGCGCGGGCGAGACCATCACAGCAGTTCCGGCCGCGGCTCTGGGCTGTTTCCCGGCGGCAGCGCCCGGCCCGGTTTCTATGGCAAACTCTACCCGGGCACCGTAACCCAATCGGCCGCGGAGGGCACCGGCTGCGGCGGTTTCAGTTGACAGCCCCCGCGCAGGGCACCGGGGCCGGGCTGCCCCTCCTGCCGCGCCAGCACACGGCTCCCCGTGAGACCCTGCGGGTACCGGGGCGCTGCACCCCGTGCTCCTGCCCTGCAGCGCACGGGAGGTGATGGTGAGATCTGATGCTGGGAGCTCCTCTGGAAGACCAAAGGATTCCGATCACCAAAGGCAACAACTTCCTGCACATCCCTAAGCAGTGACACAAGGCATCGCCGTGCGGACCCCCTGGAAAGGGTACGGAACGGCGCACCCCCGCTCCGCCCGCACGGTAAGGAGCGGCCCGGGACGGTCCGAACGGACATGGGGTTTATAACAATGATTTAACGTTTATTGCTACCGCTTTACCCTTCGCTTCGGCTGCGCACGGAGGAAGGAGCCCGGCACACGTGGCGCTGCCCCGCGGCCTCAGCTCCTCCGGGAGGACATCGGTGGCTCCCCCCCGTCCCGGAGGCGGCCCAGCGGCTGCCCCCTCCCTTCAGCCCGGGAAACCCCTTCCGCGGAGCCGCTGGGCCCCGGGAACGGCGGCTCCGGACAGCGGAGCCGGTACCGGGCAGGCGCTCCCGCCGCTGTAGATCCCCGAGCGACCGGAGGGGGCAGGCGAGCTCGGCGATCGATTAGCCGGCCTCGGCGGGAGGGTTGGCGCTGAGCGCGCCCCCTGCCGGGCGGGGGGACAGCCGCCGGTGCGGGCTGAGGGAGCGCCTGAGGCGGGTGTCGTTCCGCCCGGTGACCCCCGGGGCTGGAGGCCGGACCCCCCCGCAGGCCGCGACCGAACCCCCCCCCCAGGGCACCTCGGGCTCCAGTCCCCGCACACCCCAGGGCCTGGTGTGGGGCCTGCAGGTGCGCGGCTCCCCGGTGAGGCCGGGCCGGGCCTGGGCGCTGCCCCGGGCACCGGCACCCAGCGGCACGAACACGGGGCTCGTGTTGTGTTGCAGGGCGCGGGATGGACTTCCTGAGCCTGTTCCTCATCTACTCGTGCTTTGTGCTCTCTGCCATGGCTCTGCCGTGCCTCTGCTCGGGGAGGAGGGAGAGCTTCCTCGCTGGAAGCGTCAGCGCTGTGAGCCAGGTAAAGAGCCCAGCTCTCAGAGCCATGGTGGTCTCCAATGAACTCAGCAGGTTCACTGTGCTAAATCAGTGCAGCTGCTGCATCTCTCCTCTATAAACCCACTAATATATATGGTCAGAGGGATCATAGAATCATGGAGTGGTTTGGGTTGGAAGGGAACTTAAAGCCCATCTGGCTCCAACCTGTGCCACGGGCAGGGACACCTTCCACTGGAGCAGCTTGCTCCAAGCCCCTGTGTCCAACCTGGCCTTGAGCACTGCCAGGGATGGGGCAGCCACAGCTTCTCTGGGCACCCTGTGCCAGCACCTCGGCGCCCTAATACACACAGTGTGCTGTATCTCACGTTTCATCTTATTTTGACAACTGCTCTCCAGTAATCAGGGTTGGAAATAGAACCACGCTTCCTTCCAGCTCCTGAAATCCAGCCCAAGCAGGTAGGAAAAGCCCATTTGTGTCTCATGGCTCCTGCGTGTGCCAGTCTGGCTGCAGTGCTGAGGGTGGTGGCAAGCACGGGAGTTGTGATGCTCAAAGTGTGGTGTTCAGTGACACCGTAACACGTCAGCTTTGAGACATGAAATAACAACGCGGTCCCGTGTATTTGCAGTTTCATGGTAGTTGCTGCTGTCATTAAGAGGAAGAAGGTGGGAGGAAGTTTGAGGATTAAAATAGGGAGAGAATTACAACTGGTGGCAAATGTTTTAGGGAAGCTCTTTAAGGTGAGCCTGTAATAATGCTGCAGGCTGCTGTTCCTAAGAAGGGGGGGGGGGGGGGAATGAAGAGCTTTAAAAGAGGATTAAGAATTGGCATTTTATTGCAAAAGCAGGGAATGAATTGATGAGGCACAAGCTTATTTTTCTGTCTGTTGGACTGTGAATGAATGAAGAGGGGAAACGAAAAGGGGTGATATTCTTGGAAGGGAAAGGATAAGAGAATTGTCATTTAAATTATAAATAATACTTAATGCTGCTCACATGAGTCTAACCAGACTTTGATTTTATTACTAGTATTGTACTTTTTATCATAGACTCCCAGACTGGTTTGGGTTGAAGGGACCTTAAAGCTCATCCAGTTCCAGCTCCCTCCATGGGCAAGGACACCTTCCACTAGAGCAGGTGCCCCATCCAACCCGGCTTTATAGACACATAGATCACTGTGCAGAGAGATATTAATAGCTGCTTCTATGAAACATGTAACAGTCAGCAGTTCAAATACTGCTGAGATGTAAAGTCACTGGCTGGAGAAGTGAAATCAATGCTTATTCTCATGAAAACATAAAGGTAATCCTGAGTAGCTTCTCTGGACACTGTAATTTAAATTGGTATCTGACTGTAAGTGATGAAGGGTACAAGCCTGGAAGTTTAAGTTGTTTGACTGTGCTTTTGTAAGAGCCTCACAGATACTCATTGTGAGGGAGACGAAGGCATTAACTCACACAGAGCACAGCTCTGAGGAGGTCAGCTTCCATCCCTGGCTGCTTTCCTTGCTGCCAGTGGTTCGGTTGTGCAAGGTGGTTATATTCATGGTGCAACTCTTCTCACTTTCTCCTACTTCCAGCATCCCTGCAGGCACAAACGGTGTTTGTAGGAGCCTCTTGCTCTGGTGTAAGCAGTGGCTGAAATACAGGGGATTGCTGTGCTGTACGTGGGGGAATGATGGGTATTGAATGCAATGTTACACCGTACTGACACACAGTTAATATTTGATGCAGGCTGCTTTCCTGTCTAGTTCTGTGTTTCCTAGTGCAGAACACAGCCTCATCTTTGAAGCAAGACTTGTCACTTGAACTGCTGCTAGAGGCATACCAGTTAAAAGAAAAATATTTAGCGTCTTCTCAACTCTTACATATGCTTTTTGCCTTCTGGGCTTTCACATCTGAGACAAGAAGCTCTCACTGCATATTTTCTTTCCATGTCAGCTAGAAATAGGCTCAGCTGCTCTAATTCCTGCACCGCTGATGGAGCAGTGTGTTGCTATAGAGATCTATCACCCTCTGAAGAGCAGAGTCAGACAGCTCGGCGGTCACAGACTGCTGCTGAGGAGCTCACTGAATGAACACAGACACTTTCCTTCTTCATCGTGGCTGGCTGGTTTGAAGCAGCAGTCAGACATGGCTGGGCCATAGCTGTAGTTGAAGAACTGTAGATTTGGGGGTTTTGGTTGGGTTTTGGTTAGGTTGTGGGGTGTTTTTTTCCCTTCTGGAGGGCATCTGACTTTATCCCTTTGCTTATCTGTGCTTGCATCTGTCAGATGTCCTGATGAAGCATATTGCAGATTGGGAATTGCTCAGTTCTATCCCCTGCTTAACCAGTTACCAGCCTGTAACCCACTATAAGCTCCTTAACTTTCACACATTAACCCAGATACGTTTGTGCCTGTTGAGCTCCCAAGAACACAGAACTTCACTCCCACGGTGAAATCCCCTGCAGCATTCCTGCTGTATTCTTAGGAGTTCACATACCCTGAAAATGAGCTCCCTCCCCACTGCTACAGATCCATAACTGAGGGATTAGGCGACTTGTGTTTCTATTTGACCTTTCCACAGGCAGAAACATTGTGCAATTCAGGTAACAACAGTGTTCTCATTTGCTTCAGGCACTGTCATCTGTGATCCCTGCACAGCTCCAGAGGGTGGCACAGAGGGTGCTTCACAGGCTCTTCCACACAAGGTATTGCACTTCTTAATGCTTCTGACATTATTTTTTACTGTATTTCTGGTTCCTATTGTGACCTCCTACCCCCAGCAGAGCTTTCAGTGTTATCCTTAGATACCCTCTCTTTGTTAGGGGTGCTTGTCGAGGATTACAGATTCCCTTTAAGGTTTGCCACACTGTAGTCTGTTTGTTCCTTGCTTATTGTTTAGAAGATGGTACCCTGAAATATTTGACACATAAAGATGCTGTGGCTCAGTGGCTTCCAGTGTAACAGATGTTGGTCACAGCGGTAGAGTGGCTCTAGACAGAGCTGGCAACCCCCATCCTCTCCCTAAAATCCCATTACTCTCAGTCCAGCAGTTTGGGTGTCTGAGCTCAAGAGGAAGCTTCACAGCTGCCAAGGTTGGGAGCATCTTCTTGTAGCCCTGCAGCTGAGAGACTTCACAGGATCTTGCTGGATTGCACATGAAATGGTGGAGGAGAGAGCAGTAGAGGAGAGCTTGTCTGCAACAGACTTCCCCCTGTAGTAAAGTACACATCACTAGTTATTTAAAACTCATAATACAAGCCCAGCAAACTGATGTGTAATGCAGAGAACTGTAGTAAGGGAGCATTGCTTTCCTAATGTGTGGCTTATCTTGGCATCTCTTTGCCAGGCTGCTGGAAGCTGTTCTCAGTGTGATGCATCCCAAACAAACCTGTGTGCCAAGTGGTGGTGCAACGTGCCTCGCAGAAGCTGCAGCCTGGCACCAGTGCTGGCCCTTGCTAACTCCTGCCACGCTTGTCTCCTAACAGCTGCTTAGGTTATTACAGGGTTTTTGAGCTCAGCTTTCACTGGGGTTTTCTTTGCTTGCAGAGCAGCACATAGCAAATGTCTTCTGGCAGAATGCTTTGCGCTCTATTGCTGTGGCATGTTTTGTCAGCAGCAAGTGATTACAAGACTTTGTATTTTACTGATGGGAAAAGAAAGTCAAAGGAGATGCTAGTAGTGGAAGTGAGTTTAGCTGGTGTATTGTAAGGAGTGTATGTGGGAAGAAGAGAAGGAAGGCATTGGAAGGAGAAAATGCTATTAATATGCAATCCATGCTGGCCTGAAAACCTGAAAGGGTGTCTCCTTGTGTTTGGAAAGTCTTTGCTGGTCACCTCTGAGGGGACCTGTTAATCAGGATGCTATGTATTGAATAGACTGTCCCCTTGCTGTTACAGAAGCTGTTTGTTTGTTGTCCTGCACGTAGTCTTGCAAGCTGCAGTGTATGCGGAATACACATGGGAAGTGTTTGTGTACTGCTGGGAGCTGCAGTTTCACCTCCTCATCCTCCTCCTGCCCTACCTGCTGCTGGCTGGGAACGTGGGCTGCTTCATCCTCTGCTCCCGGGCCAATCCTGGTAAGCTCTTGCTGACTGGGAGCTGTAAGCCATTTGAAAATGGAACCTAAAAAAGGCTACAAACACCATTGCTAACAGTTTCTCTTGTTTCTTTCACAGGTATAATTACTAAATCAAATCATGCGTCTTTGGTTAAGATTTATGCTTATGATGGTGTATTGTTTCAGAAGGGCATCGTGTGTCCTACGTGTGACTTGGAGAAGCCAGCCAGGTCAAAACACTGCAGTAAGAATCTTAACTTCCTTGATAAGCAAAACAGTGGTACCTCCCCAGATCAGTTCTCCAGAGCTGCAGTCTCTGCCTTTCCTCTGCTTTGCTGGGCAGTGCTGTCAGAGAAGACAAAGTCTGTGAGCTGCAGTCGTAGGGAATAAAAGAGGAAATGGATAGCACAGCTTTGGGTTTAGTATTGGGGTTACTGTGTTTGCTTAAAATCATGACCATAATTCTTGGATTTTGTCAGATGAAAAACTATCCTAAACTGTGTAAAAATGAAATTGCTCAGTTAAACCCCAAGCAACTGACCTGTCCTGTGGCTCCCTCTTCCCCAGGTTTCTGCAGCATGTGTGTGCATCGGTTTGATCACCACTGCGTGTGGGTCAACAACTGCATTGGTGCCTCCAACGCCAAGTACTTCTTCCTTTACCTCTTCACACTGACTGCCATGGCAGGAACCACTGCAGTCATCTCGGCAGCGTTCCTCAACCAAGTGGTGCTGCTCTCAGGCATGATGCATGGGAGTTACATTGATGACCAAGGACAGGAGCGTGCTGTTGACATTCTCTTCCTCATCCAGGTGAGTTTATGCTGTGTGGGTTATTAGTTTGTATACAAAGGTTTAGCTCAGTCTTTGCCCTCAGGAATCTTGTTAATCCTCCTCACAGGCAGATGTGGACAGATGCAGGGGTTTACCACCTTCACACAGCTAATGCAGTGTAGAAAACTGCCATTGCAGAATGCTTTTAAAGTACAGGGTTTTTCTCCCAGCATTTCATTCCAGTCTTCCATTCTTTAGATTTCTGTTTCCAGGTTCTGCTTTAACTCAGCAGATCTAGTTCACAGGGACTGATTTCACATTCCAGTGACTATTTGCTGCAGGAATGTTTAGGAAACAGTTGAAAATCCTTGAGATATCTTCATGGAGATGTTCAAGCAGGACTCTACTGCCCTGGAATTTAGATACTTGAATGTTTTCTCTTGCATACAAAGGGTGACTTTGAGCTTCTGTAGCACTTGAACCATTTGCTTTTCAGTCCCCTCACCCCTTTCTGTAGTATGGCAGTGAGGTGATACACAGCAAATGCTTTCTCTTTTCCTCATCCTAAACACCAGATGTTTCAGCCTTGGACTGTTATAAAGGGATCTCGGTGAGGGAGCATTTGCTCATGTTTGAGCTGTACCATTCCCAATCCCCAGCACTGGAATTTAACTCGGGGGAGAGCTGCTTAAAACTGCATCGTGTCAGCAAAACCTGAAGTTGCACCAGATTGTGCCCCTTCATTTGGCAGTTTGTTTTCAGATGATCTGCATTAATGATTTTCTTAATTAAGAAACCCAACAAGCAGAACTCTGCTATGAAATACAACATTCAGAGATAGATGGATGGAGAAAATACTCCCACTTATTAGCCAGGCTTTGGGAGTCTGCATGCTGTACTCCAGGATCCAGTCACGGAGCTGACAGAGGGCTGTGACCTCCTTCCTGGGGCTCCACAGTTCCATGTGTGCCCAGATGTGCTTTGCAGCTGCACGCTGAGCACTCACATCCCTCCATGTGCTTTAATGCCCCATCTTTGTAACTGAGTTGTTCTTTTTCTTTCTTTGCAGCACCTTTTCTTGACTTTCCCTAGGATTGTCTTCATGCTTGGCTTTGTCATTCTCCTCACACTGGTTCTGGGTGCATACTCCTGTTTCAATCTCTATTTGGCCTTAACCAACCAAACTTGCAATGAATGGTATAAATCCAGAAGACACGGGTGTTACCACCATCCAACACTGCAGCCTCATGACAGACAAGCTGTCTACAAGAACATTTATTCTAAAGGAGTCTGGAGGAATTTGGTAGAAATCTTTAAGCCTCCTGCAGTGCTGGAAAGCAAGAAGAAAACATGAAGATATCAGTGTTCTTATGTGTGTTTATAAGCTTTTTGTAGGACTTTATACCAGCAGTGAGCTCTGATGCTCAAGCAGCTTTTGTAAAAAGGTGACTGTATCTCAGTGAAGTGATTGGAAACTGTTTGCATAAAGCTGACCAGTCTGTCTGTGACACTGACATTGTACAGTGGCAGCGGCCTGCAAGTCTTTTCAAACACAATCACAGTGCAGAAGCATTAGGATCAGCTAAAGAACACATATATAAGGAACTGGGGGGTTTATGTTTAGTTTTGTATGCTGCATAATATATACCACTGTATAACTGAGTTCCTCAGTTGCTTTAGTCCATCTTAAGTAGGTCTTCCTTCCTGCAGAAGACACTGCTATATTCCTGCAGTGTCACAGATGTGGAAGTGGCACTGCTTTGTCAATCATTCACCTTTTTCTTTTGCCCTGCAGGAAAACAGTAACAGAGCTCACTGCAGTGCTCTGGTTAACAATGCCTCAGCAAAGCACTGTTTAAGATACTTCCCTGGGTGAGATCTCTGAGGTTAAGCTTGGTCCTCTTGTTTCCTTGTTGGAGGGAGCAGTAGTGAATTGGCTGTTTTGGAGAGACAAGTTGGGTCCATCTTACTGGAGTGAAACTTTCTCCCTGTGCACACTTGCAAGGGAAGAGCTAACAAAAAAAGAGCTGCTGTGAACTGTGAGGAAGCTTCACCTTTGTGTGAGTATCTTTGCTTGGGAAATGATTAACCCATTTCTGTTAATATGGAGAACACATTGCATGGATTTAGCTGAAAGACTTTATGATTACTGGCAGAATCTGAACTTCAAGAACCATGTTCTACTACAGATCTGGGTTAGGATGGAGCACCTTGAATTTAGACAGGAAACTATTACAGGTGAGGTGCTTGGTGAGGCACTGGCACAGGGTGCCCAGGGAAGCTGTGGCTGCCCCATCCCTGGCAGTGTTCAAGGCCAGGTTGGGCACGGGCTTGGAGCAAGCTGCTTTAGTGGAAGGTATCCCTGCCTGTGGCAGGGGTTGGAACTGGATGAGCTTTAAGGTCCCTTCCAACCCAAACCAGTCTGTACCAGGATTCTGTAGGTGAACACTAGAAGGCAGTTCATGGCTGTCCCTCAGAAAACCCTTGGCCTTAACAGCAGAAGACAAAAGTTAACTTAGAGCTGTGCAAGTGGCCTCTGCCATCCTTCTACCTGGGGATTGTGTGAAAGGCTCCAAAGCACATGTGCACTGGCTGCTTCTGGAGGCTTGTTTGGGGAAAAAGCGTTTGACTCACCTAGTGATGAGCGTTTCTTAGGCACAAGGTCAAGGGGCCCCCATTCTCTTTCCAGACATCCTTCTGTTTGGGTGACAACAGAGCAGAAATTGGCCAGGTCTAGTAAGAACTTTAAATAACTTTATTTTTACAAAGGTGTTTATTTACATGCTGGAGCTGTACAATATGCAAATAAAAACCCAGATATGCTTTAAAAAAAAAGAAACTATCATATACAATATGGCTTTACACGCCACCAGGCCCCTCTCAGGGCAGCCTGTCTGGCACTGCAAGGGTACAATGATGCATTCTTTCATAGACCAGTACATAAGGCTACTTGTCCAGGATATAAAACGAAGATACTGCAGTACCATGCCTTAGCAGGCATAAAGGAGTGAGGTTAAAGGCATGAAACTTTGAGTGGTGGTGAACACACACCAGAACTCCTTAGGTTTGGTTTCCTTGGCTTGCTTTAAATGCATATGTTAAGTAGTCTCTTATGAGACCCTACATCTTTGTTTCACTTTCTGAATGCTTTTGAACACCAGAACACCACTGTTCTGTGGTCAGAGGTCAATGCTTTACAAGGAACCTTCCTTTATTTGAGGCAGCTGTACAAACTACTGAGACTGTCAACTGTGGTGCATGGGTCACTTCCACAGTACAACCATGCAGAGGATTTTAACTATCGGTACTTCCATTTTAAACAGGAAACATCTCAGCGCTGTACCTTCCTGTTAAGTCACTTCCCTATGGAAGCATTCCCTCCCTTGGCAAAGGCAGGACTGCTCCGACTCCCAAACTGAAAAACCCAGGAAGTTTTACATTAGCATCTGTCACTGGGTGCATGCTGCTCATCACACAATGAGAGTCTGGACTTCCACCTCCGCCTCCTGCGAGGCAATCACAAACTCCCCCGCATGTTCCATGATTTCAATGTCCTCAGATGCCACCATGGTCACCGTCGCCTCTTCCGTCTCGATGCCACCCTCCGTGGTCAGCACTGCTCCCTCTCCGATGGCAGAAGCCAGTGTCATGGCCACCTGCTCAGTGAGGCTCTCGGGGGTGGCGATGGTGATGGTGTCTGCAGCATCAGTGGTTACTTCAGAGTTCTCAGCCACGGTGACGTTCTGCACAATGATCTGGTGACCAGAGTTTGCTTGATTCACTATTTGCTGCACGACCTTCATGATGTGGCTGTCGACCTACAGGAAGAGAAAAGAGGACTCGTTATGTCTCAGTGTGGTGTTTCTCTCTTACAAGTATGGACAATTCTCATCACCACAACCAGGGCAGTGCAACAGCATTAATTCCACTTCCCTCCAGCTGTTGAAGTACTCATCACTCCCGGAACAGCAGACTCCTAGAACATGTAATAGCTCACGTCACTGAAGATGTTTTGCCAGCAGGACACTTGCCACAGAATCATAGAATGGTTTGGGTTTGGAAGACCCTTAAGATCATCTAGGTCCAACCTGGCCTTCGACACTGCCAGGGATGGAGCATTACCACTTCTCTGGGCAGCCTGTTCCAGTGCCTCACCACCCTCACAGGGAAGAACTTCTTCCTTGTATCCAATCTGAACTTCCCCTGTTTCAGTCTGAACCCTTCACCCCTTGTCCTATCACTACAGTTTCTGATGAAGAGTCCCTCTCCAGCACCCCTCAGATGTCAAAATATTTATAGACAAATCCAAGCAATGCATGCCAGGACCTTTGACCTGACAGAATCCAAGCCAGGAGCCCAGCCAGCCTCTGACTGTGCAGCAGGAACCATTTTTAGCATTCTGGAATGCGTTGCAAGGATCTAGAGTTACCAGCACTAACCCAGTCATATCCAGTATGACCAGTACAGGCAGCTCTGCAAACCTACAGAGGTCAGTCAATTGATTATCTGAAGTTGGGTTTACTCAGCATGACTTTCAGGACACCAAAAGCGATTCATTTCATCTACAGCAAGTCCCCATAATAATCCTTCACATGGCTGCTTTACCTCATGTCTTGTTCCCTCTATGATTTCAGTAGCTTCATTGGTCTCCATATCTTCAGTAGCAGTCTTGAAAGACAAAATATGATGATTCTCTTTTTAGATTATTACCAAAACCACTTTTATTACCAAGATACAAGACATTAAGATCTTTTATAAGAGTCTGTCTGTTCCCCTCCTGCTGCAGTAGCTCCTCTAAAGCCAACTCCTCCTTGACATTACCTCCAAATCCCATTGTCAAGAGCTACTTGAAAGTAACTCGCAGCGCTCACAGATAACCAGAAGAGAACATCCTCTCTCAGCAGGACTTGGCCAACTGGCAGATTCTTCTATTGGAGAAGAACTGTGGCCGCACTAACCAGGCTCAGTAAATGAACTGTGTAATTCTGCACTGATGAGTACTGGCTCTTTGTCACAAGGGGGGAAGAGAGCAAAATGCAGAATTCATTGCTTTTGGCAGCCACAACCAGTTAAAACCTGAGATTATTTCTTTGCTAAATTATTTAAGTTAAACAGAAATGGGGGAAAATAGAAGGTAAAAGTTCAGGGAAAGCTGAAGCAAATCAGTGAGGACATAAAATGTGGTATGGTCAGTTCTCAGCCTCAGCTTTCTGATGTCTTCCTGCTTTCTCATTTTCCTGCATACATTACAGGAAGGGGGTGAAGTAGGCTCCAGGTGCTCTCCTTCTGAACAAGATTCTTTAATCCTACTTATTCCTAGGGTCATGCATTGGCTAGATCCTATTTTACCTTCTCCCAAGGCCCTAGGTGAGGAACATCACGCACAACTGCAGTTTCAGTGACAAAACACCATGCTGAGGTCTGCAGGCAAAGGCACTGCCCACGTCTCACCTCGATGATGTACTCCTGAGTGTCTGCCACCACTGAAGAGAACTCCACCAGCACCGTGTGAGGATCTTCGGAGATGACAGTGGCAGCCAAGTTGTCAGCAGACTGGCTTTCCTCAGACACCATCACTTCCTCCACCTCTTTCAAACCCAGGAGGCAGCCACCTGAATGGTATTCCAAAAATGCCAAAAGAACATCATTTTTCATAATCATCTCAAATACAGGAGATGGTCATTTCTAGGTCCTCATGGAAAATGCTACACAGCACAAATAAGGACCTGTAACAGAATACCACTGACAAGTACCAGCTACCAGGCTCTCATCCCCCTGAGATCAGCCAAGTGACACCAAACAGAACTGAGACTGGAGCAGAGCCACCGTCCAGTACAGTGCCAAAAGACATACAGCTCAGTTCAGATGTAAATCCATACTAGATCTCAAAAGCTGTGTGGGAAGAACTGCATATCTTTTCTTCTTACACATTTCTCTATCTACCAGGGAACTCTTTTTTTTCCTTCCAGTGAACTTGTATTGTTCTTCGCAATCTAAACACCTCATCATCACTACCTGACAAAGCTCGAAAATCCATGCTTAGGAGGTAAAGGAGCAGCAGGTCCAGTGCAACTAATCTGATCAAACAAGATTATCTGTGAGAACTCAAGACATTTTCCTCACAGAACATCCATGCTTTGTGTTTTTACAGTTCACCTCTTCCCCGACACAGGAATCAAGCTCTCTCTGGCATTACTTTGTGGAAATGTTAATTTTCTCCCTCTTTGTGTATAGCCTTGGACCAGCCCCTTCACAGTTTGAGGTAGGCTCTGGTAGGGTGCAGGCTCTGTCTTCTTTACTCAGGACAGTGGTGACACTGCAGGGACCACTTAGGCTAGAGGCTGGAGCAGAGAACCCAGAGCACTGCTGCAATTAGAGTCTTGATGCAAGTCCTCTTTATCTTTATTTAGATGATCTAGATTATATATTAGAACTGATTTACAGCTGTTTGTTCAGCTGACTCTTGGTCACAAAAATCACAGTAGAAATATTCATTAATATAGATTAAAAAAACCCGTAACACATCTCCTGATGCAACTGGGATGCAGATAAATAGCCCTCGATGCCAGTCATTAGCTCCACTCCAAGAAACCCTCACCACTCAGCCAAAGAGCAGCTCATCCAAACCCAACCTGAGACCACCCCACGCTCCCACCCATCGCAGCCAAACTCTTGGCCACCTCACCTTTGGTTTTGAGGTGCCTGTTGAGGGTGCCGTGCTCTGCAAAGCCTCTCCCACACCGGTAGCACTTGAAAGGCTTCTCTCCCGTGTGGTGGCGGATGTGGCGCACCAGCGAGCCCTTCTCCCGGAAGCCACGGCTGCAGAACTGGCACACGTAGGGCTTGTCCTCCAGGTGCGTGCGGAAATGGACTTGCTGGGCATTCTGTACCAAAGGCAGGAACAGGAGGAGGGAGCTAAAGGGGACTGCAGACTGGAAAAAGCAGTATTTTAGCTTCCTGGGTAAAAGTTAACATCCTTGAGGACTTCTTCTCATGTACAACATGATAAAAAACAGGTTTTACTATTATTACATAGAGTTTTCCAGACAGTTTCTTCACAAATGTGAAGGTTTTACTGAGATCGTAACTGGAAGTTGTCCCTGCCTACGGCAGAGCATTGGAACTAGATGATCTTTAAGTTCCCTTCCAACCCAAACCATTCTATGGTTCTATGACTAGCCCTCTCTTTCCTTACTAAAAAGCCTCCTTCTGGAGCTTCAGCTCATTAAGTGGCCTCTGTTTTTCAGGAGCAAAGCCTCCTAACTTCTCCCAAACCCTGGCTCTGGAAAGGGAAACCTGGAGGTCAGGCCGTGGTGAGGGAGTTCACCTTTGTCTTGTACCGCTTGCCACACTTGGGGCAGGAATAGGGCCGCTCATCGGAGTGCACTCGTCGATGCCCCTTCACGTGTGCAATGGTCTTGTAGAGCTTCCCGCACTCTCCACAGCGGAAACGCCGCTCGTTCACGTGCACCTCCTGGTGCTTCTTTAGCAGGTAGCCCTTGGTGAACTCTTTGCCACATTCCTCGCACTTAAAAGGCTTGTAATCTAGAGAGAAAGAGAGGACATGTGGTTGGTACACGACAACCCACAGGACCAAGTGTCTCCTACATGCTGTAATAGAATCCTTGCCAAAAACATGACCCAGGAGAAGGAGGGAAATTATATCAACTGTGTGTAAGGTCTTTGTCTCATTCAGAAGCGAATTCTGCTCCACTGTTGCTCTCCTGGTCTTTGGTGCCTTTCAAGCAGCAGGTCCAGCCTATGAACCTGTTCTGCCTCACCAACCTTTTTCCTGGCCTCTTCATCAAATTCCACTTGCAAGGATGCAGTGCAGCCCCGAAATGTGAAAGTTGGGAGTGTTTTGTTAGGTATTTCTTTTACGCTTTATTCTACAGCTCTCCCAAAATCAACCTTTTCACATTAGTGTGTCACTAATTGATTTTAATCAGTTGATTTTGCATGGCTAAGGCCATGTAAAGGCAAGGGAGTTGAAACAAAGCAAGCTGTGCTATGTGAGACACCTCACATTTTAGACACTTTAAGCATAAGCAGTAGAACTTTACCTAAATGACCTTTGATGTGTGTTTCAAGGGAAGTAGCGTCACTGAAGGCTTCGTTACAGTGAGGGCAAACGTAACTTTTATACCCATTTGTTCTTTCAGCTTCTGGCTATTGGAAAGAAAATGGTACAACATAAGTATGTTTGTCCTGGTGTGGATAGGAAGTATTGCAGTTAAATACTCCAGCTTTGACCAGGAAGAGATCTGTATGGTTAACAGGAGAGAGAGAGCAGCTCTGTGGCCTAACACCACACTTAAGCACACGTGAAATATGTTTAACTATAAAACCTGACACAACTCCCAGGGCACAGGGAGAGATGCAGGGAGGGTAACATGCTAACAGTGCTGTGCACAGCCAAGTGCAGGCAAGGAACATTACACAATGAATCTATGTACGGAATACAAACATACAGCCTCTGCTTGTTCTACTTCAACACACTGCTCCCCACATGGCTCCTCTTCTGCTTCCACTGCTTCATTCTGCAGTCCTTCTGCAGCAGCCACAGCAGGCTCTGTGTCTGGCTTCTGCATCTCCTCCACAGCGACTCGCTCTATCACGATACCCGAGTTCCTCATGGCCTCCCTCAGCAGGTTCTCACTTGTTGCTTCCCCCTCACATGGCAGCTCCTCGGGATGTGACTGCTGAAGGAAGGAACAGTCCAGTAACTGGCACAGCAAATACACCCTCAGCCCTCTCTTTAGAGCCATTCTTTCTAAGGTATCTAGTGCTGTGATACAGGGTTGAAAAGTCAGCAAGGCAATGATCTTGGACTGGGGAGGAAGAGGAGGTGAACGTGTACTCTGAAGACACACAGTCTTAGGCATGATAAGCCTTTGCTGCTATCACAGTGTCTTGCAGCAGGGAATGATCAACAAAAACACCCTTTCACCTTCTGGGTTGTTCAGTGCATGATGGTGAATCCTATGCATCCTCCTGCATGCTACAGATGTGCTGCTAAGCTCAGCCAGACTCTAGCAGAGCAGAACCTTTATGTGCTTGGGTGAAATAGCAGCTCATTAACCATTTATTCCCATCACCCAGATTTTTAGCACCTATGAGAATTCTGTCTGTGAGGTGAAATACTTCACAATACTTCTCTGCATACAGCACATCACGGGCCTTTAAGAGAAAATGCACTCACATCTTGGTCCAGGGATTTTGCATCGACAACAGGAAGCTCCTGCATTTGGACGTGGACTTCGTGAAGCACGTTGCCTTTTGCATCTGTCACCAGGTGAATGACGGGTGAGCTCTCGATGGACTCACTTGCTATTGAGGAAACAGTGTCTGGGTTTGAACTAGAGGATCCTGCAAGAAAAGCAGCACAGTGAGTCATGGGTGTGCTGCCACCTTCCCCAGCCTGCTGTGCCTGGCAGAAAATGTGCCTCAGAACACGAGGTGCCTGCTAAAACCAGCTCTGTTCCAGAGCATCAAACACTCTTCACAGCCACTGCCTGGCTACAGAGCTTCGGGTTAATACTTTAGCTCTATAAATTACTTTTTCCTATAAAAAATTACAAACTGAATACCACAGAAGTGGGTTTAATTTATATGCTCAGTTCTCCCGGACATGAGGCAGGTGCTGGCAACAGCACTGACCTGTTGGCAGATCCTCTTTATTGACCACTATTTCTTTGTTCATGTTGAAGCGAATCTTTTCAGTGCAGGGTGTAAGAGATTTCAGGTGCCGAGTCAAAGCTCCTGATTCCCGAAAGCTCTTCCCACATTTCTTGCATTTGTAAGGTCTTTCATCTGGGAATGACAGGAATGAAAATGAGTATTAAGGTAACCACTGCCAGCACAAAGAACACCTACAGCCAGCCCCGTGCTTATCTCTTGTGTTGCCTCCCAGTAGCCCAGCACTGTAGAGAGCAAAACAGGCTCAGCTCAGCAGCAGGAAAGCAGTGAGTTCCCCTGGAAGGTAACCTGGTTCCCTACACACAGAGCACACCCCTGCAACGAGCAGTTCTTATTCTGCAGAGCTCTTACCAGTGTGACGCCGATGGTGTCGAATCAGAGACCCTTTTGTCCTAAAGGAAGTGCCACAGAGTTTGCATTCATAGTCCTTCCTGCTGCTGTGAGTGATCATGTGAGCTTTGAGGATGCTGGCCTGGGGAAAGAATTTCATTTTAAAAGATGTTTCAAGTCACAGAATCCCAGACTGGTTTGAGCTGGAAGGGACCCTAAAGCTCATCCAGTTCCAACCCCCTGCCACAGGCAGGAACACCTTCCACTAGAGCAGGTTACACCAAGCCCCATCCAACCTAGCCTTGAACACTGCCAGGGATGAGGCAGCCACAGCTTCTCGAAGCTAAGGTTAAGGATTTTAGAGGTTAAGTGTTTTACATTTCAGCTGTAAAGAAAAACAGTGCTCCTTCAGAAAGTAGGACTTCCCTTTTGGAAGCATCGCATGCACTAGAACAGCACAATGTTATTGAGTCTTGAGATATCCTGGTGAACTTCTAGCCTAAATAACTCACTAACCCAAACACACAGGATATACTTACTGTTTTAAATGTCTTCTGGCATAATTCACAAACATATCTCCCTTCTTTGTTAACCAGCAGCTTAACCTTGATCAGTTCCGTGGAGATATCCTGCTCCGGATCGTCAGGGTTGCCTGGCTCTTCTGGGACTTCCCCATCAGTGTGTCCATCTGGGTTTTCAAAAACATGATCTCCTGCAACAATGACTTCTTTGATGTGCCCACTGCCTGGGAAGAGGGTAGGACAGTTATGTCCTTTGCAGAAGAGCTTTACCTAACTACATCAATTTACTGCTGTAGCATTTCACACAGCAGGAGGAGGAACAGCTACTTAAAGCTTGAACATGGGTCATTGCACAGTTCCTGCTGTTTACTTTAGGTGCTGGAGCAGGTCCAGAGAAGGGCTACAGATCTGGTGCAGGGCCTGGAGCACAAGTGTGATGGGGAACGGCTGAGGGACCTGGGGGGTTCAGTCTGGAGAAGAGAGGGCTCAGGGGGGACCTGATCGCTCCCTACAACTGCCTGACAGGAGGATGGAGCCAGGAGGGGCTGGGCTCTGCCAGCAAGGAATGTGACAAGAGGAAACGGCCTCAAGCTGCACCAGGGCAGGTTTAGATGGAGCTGAGGAACAATTCCTTCCCCAGAGGGTGCTCAGGCATTGGAACAGGCTGCCCAGGGCAGGGCTGCAGTCACCGTCCCTGCAAGTGTTCACACAGCGTGGAGACGAGGCCTCAGTGCCATGGGTTAGTGGTGGCCTTGGCAGTGCTGGGAATGGTTGGACTGGGTGAGCTTAAAGGGCTTTTCCAACCTGGTTGATTCTATGATTCTATTGCAGCATAACTATTAAAATGGCCACTTCTGGAACAGAGTTTTAACTCTTAATTTATTATTGCAGGGACAATTGCAGAGCTGGCCAAGGGATGACTTGCACACCTTCAGCCCCAAGTCCTGCAGCAACACGGAGGCATCATGTGCCCGACCACACACACAGATCACCCTCCAGAGCACACTGGAAGGGGGAGCAAGCTCCTGACCCAGCCAGGTACAGAACCAGGCACCCCAAAGCTCACCTACTATAGCAGAGGCATTGCTGATTTCCTCTGCTATTGAAGATGCTTCAACCACTATATGGGCAACAGTTATGGACTCCTCGACAGAAGGAACAACCTGCTGTGACAGACAACACTTTAGCAGAGGAGTTTTATGACCTTTAAAGCCAACAGCCCCGGCTGGAGGAGAAGTTGCTGTCACCTTTTGCACGTCCTGGCCGAGGCCCGGTGGTGCCGCAGGCAGAGCCTCGGGGACTCTGTGACAGACCTTCTGCAGCTTGTGGTGCACGAACTCTTCCAGGGAGGTGAACTCGGCCTGGCAGCGCCCGCACTTGTGCACGTCATCTTCATCTATGGGGGAGAATTCGGGCACGGCTTAAGAAACTGACATGGAAAACTCCTGTGCTGCGTGTGGAGGTGAGCTCCCGCACCGGGGGGGGGGGGGGGGGTGGTCCCGGGGCGGGGGGTGTTTCCGAGCCGGTTTCTGGCAGGGAACGGGGCGATCTCCCCACCCGGACCCGGGTCCCCTCCCGAAGCCCGGCGCAGGGACGGGACGCAGAGGGGCACCAGCCCGGACGCTGCTGACAGAACCAGCATGGTCAGGGCCCGCTCCGCCCCGCGCCGAGCACCGAGGGGTCGGTTCCGCCGGGCCGGGCGGCTCCGCGGGCCCCGCCGCCCCACCCAGGCTCTGCTTTTCCCCTCAGCCCCGGCCGGGCCCTGCCGCGGCGGCACCGCCCGCCCCGCGGCTGGTACCTTCCTCGCTGAAGGGCGCCGGGAGGCTGAGGAAGGCGGCGGGGCCCGCGGGGGTCACGGCAGCTCCGGAGCCCGCCGCCGCCGCCGCCTCCCGCTCCTCTGCCGCGCCTGCCGTAAGCCCCGCCGGCCCGGCGCTCGTTGCCATCGCGGCCTCCATGTCGCAACGAGCCGCACCGCCAAGATGGCGGCTTTACGGCCGTGTCGTCATAACAACGGGCCGCGTGCCGCGGGACCGGCCCACCGAGGGGCGGGGGGGAGGGCGGAGGGGGAGCTCTGCGGGGAACGCGGCCGCCACACGACGGGGGGTGATCCCGGGGCCGCGCGCATACCGGTGTCCGGTGCCCGGCCCCCGGGTGACCTCTGACCCCCGGTGCCCACACGGACCGGGAACCTTAACGAGTTACCTAAGGAGCCCCCAGGGCGGCCGGGCGGCCCAGTGGCCTGAGGTGACCGCGCTCTCCTGGCCAATGGCAGCGCGCGGGGGCCAGGCAGCCAATGAGAGCGCAGCGGCGGCGCCGTGCGGGAGGGGACGCGCGGCTGAGGTGCGGCGGCCATGGCGGGCGGCGGAGGCGGCGGGCAGCGGCGGTGCCGGCGGCTGGAGGCCGAGGCGGCTCGGGCCGTGCTGGACGCCGCCGACACGCTGCTCTTTGACTGCGATGGGGTGCTGTGGCGGGGCGAGGCGGCGGTGAGCGGCGCGGCGGCGGCGCTGGGCCGGCTGGCGGCGGCGGGCAAGCGGCTGTGCTACGTGACCAACAACAGCAGCCGGACGCGCGCGGCCTACACCGAGAAGCTGCGGCGGTTGGGCTTCCCGCCCGCAGAGCCCCGCAACGTGTTCGGCTCGGCTTACTGCGCCGCCCGCTACCTGCGCCAGGCCCTGCCGCCCGGCGCCGCCGCCTACGTGCTGGGCAGCCCCGCGCTCGCCGCCGAGCTGGAGGCTGTCGGTATCCCGCACCTCGGACCCGGCCCCGCCGCCCTGCCCGGCCCCGCGCCCGCTGACTGGGCCCAAGCGCCCCTCGACCCCGCCGTGCGCGCTGTCCTCGTGGGCTTCGACGAGCACTTCAGTTACGCCAAGCTGTGCCAGGCGCTGCGGTACCTCTTGCGCGGTGGCACCGACTGCCTCCTTGTCGGCACCAACCGCGACCACCGGCTCCCGCTCGAGGGCGGCGCCGCCATCCCCGGTGCGCGGGGCGGGGGTGGGTTGGGAGGTGGCTCTGGGTGTCTCCGAGCTCAGCCTTGAGTCTTGCTGCATAGCAGTGTGGCGGGCTCAGTGTCCCAGAGCCTGGGCTCCACACTGAAAGAGGGAGAATCCTTGCAGATCCTTTATTCGGGAATAGCGGCGCCTTTCTGATCCCGGTGTGAGACAGTATTCCTGCCTTCCAGCAGGTTTAGTCCACCACCTCTATTGGGGCTGAGCTCTTTCCCTGCCCGTCTTGTCCATGGTGTTGTGCTGGCTTGTGTGGATGGCGAGTTTCCTCTGCAGTCCCTAACTGGCGTTTCCTGTTCTCTCCATAGGGACGGGCTGCCTGGTAAAAGCAGTGGAGACGGCGGCCCAGCGTGAGGCATTCATCGTAGGGAAGCCCAACCGGTACATGTTCGATTGTGTGGCGAGTGAGTTCAACATCGACCCTGCCCGTACCATCATGGTGGGAGATAGGCTTGACACAGACATCCTCATGGGCAACTCCTGCGGCCTCACCACCCTGCTCACGCTGACTGGGGTCAGCACGCTGGATGAAGTGAGGGGCCATCAGGACAGCGACTGTCCGACCAGGCAGAGCCTGGTGCCCGATTACTACGTCAACAGCATCTCCGACCTCCTGCCAGCACTGGGGGAGTAGGAGAGCAGAGTGCTTGCAGCCTCTGCAGCCATACTCTCTTAATCACCCTGTGACAGTAACTAGCATACTACCCGGAGTTAGCAGCCCTTAGCAGCTTTTTAACCTTCATGTCCTCCCGATGTGATTTTGTTTACATCTCGGTCTCTAAATGCACTTTGAAGCCAAAAGGGCATTAGTGTCACCCACGTCCTGAGGGCTTGGGGCTGCTTTTAAACGAATTCTAAGCAACAGTCTAGCCAAATGTTTGTTTTGCTCAATGTCACCTTGTCCTCTAGACTGAGTTGAGGGAAGCAGAGCTGGTTGATCTGAGGAAAAGAACCCAACATCTTGTGGTGGGTGCTTACCTGGGCAGGTTGTAACTCAGTCTGGTTTATTCAGGGAAACCTGGAGTGTTTAGTGCCAGCTATTTTGAGCAATGCCTGTAGGCATTGGCAGGTGGCAGGATTAGTCTTTAGCCGTGGGTTGAATTTTCTTCTTCCAGCCCAATGCAGATGTCACAGAAACTGACTCCGTCTTTGTTTATGTGACCACTGCAGATTGCACTAATGCAGATTAGGATGATTCCACTCTCACAATACAAGCAGGGTCTTCGGTCTCACTGTGTTTGTCCAAGTGCTGGGTGTATGTATAAAGCACATGTACGTACAGAGCTACCCCCATCCTAAATATATATCAGAATATATTTAAATTATAAATTTAAGTATAGTATATGATAATATATCTTGTTTCCCAAAAGGGAGGATAAGAGGAATGTACTTCACTGATCACAGTAGATCCAAGCTTTTGCATTTGGTAATGCAGAAATTCTACCCACATAGGACTGTCCTTCACTACTGCTGCTTCCCAGATAACTGGATCCATTAGTACCAAGTTAATTCTTGTACTTCCCTCAGCATCCAAATAGCTCTTTCCTTGGCTTTAGCTGCAGCATCAGAGGTGATGCTTGGCAAACAGGGGCTGGATCTAGCACGGTTTTCCTCTCAAAGAATCCCAAGGCTGTGTGTGATGGTGGCACGTGCTTCCTTCAGTACCTGAGATTCAGCTCTTCCCTGCAGGCCTGGGGCCGGGTGCTCTGCTGCAGAGCAGCACTTGCTGGCTCAGGTGATGATTCCTGTTTGATCTTGAGCTGGATTTGGGTGATGCACAGCTCTGTCCGTGATAGCTGGATCCAAGGCCGCAGGTGAAACCTTTTACATTACAGAATTAAGTGACAAATTAAATATGCAAATAAGCTGCTTTTATCCATAGCTTCCACTGTTGGTAGCTGATTTTAAACTACTTCCTTCCTTCACCTCCCACTGTGCAGCCAGGCAGCTCTGGCAGTGTGTTGGTGCCATTTCCTTCCAGTCACAACGAGTCACTTGTTTGTAGAGCAATAACCTTGCAGTTCACTTTGTCTTTTGGTGTTAACCAGAGTATTAGCTGATCCTGTCCAAGGTGTTCCCTTGTGTCGGGAAGCACGGATTGCCTCTTCCCTGCTCTTCCCTCCAGCTGGAAGCCTATGGCTGTGTGAAGTCACAGATAAACCCTTAGAGGTAGAACTGTGGGTTAATGTGGAAATGGATGTGATGGATTTCCTGCAGGGAGAGCCTGGCTTCAGGATGTGTTCCTGGATTCAGTTCCTCTATGTGGTGCTTGGAATGTCAGAAGATGACAAGTAAAGCAGCAAACACCAGGAGAGGCCTGGCCTGGCTGGAGCCATCACTGGCCCCACACAAGGGAGCTGTTACCTCGAGTTGTGTGTGCTGAAACATGTGGGTGAAGGTGTCAGCCGTGCTTTGAAACTGTGTGCAACTTCCAGACGGTTTTTAAGCCTCTACTTGAATTCACATTAAACTTCAAAACCTGCTTTCCCCAGCGTTGTCTCACTTTGAAGTCTCTTCTCTGATCTTTGGCACAGCTGTGCTGCGTGGAGGTTGTGGGATTTAGGGGCTGGTTTGTGGTTATTGTCTTTAGTCCTCACATGCAGAAATGGGGAGAGAAATGTAAGCTCTGGAGGGTATTTCTGGGGCTTTGGTCCCAAATCCCTTGATGGGGGCTGGGATTTGCTTCTTGAAGAGCACAGTGCTGAGCAGAACACAGCAATCCTGCCACCACCAGTGTTTTGTAGAGGGTTTTGCTTCATTCTGTGGCTCAGGTTAGGCAGGGCCTTCATTTCTTAGAGCAAGAAAGTGTCTCCTGCTTGGCTGTTACAATCTCTTTGGGGAGAACCCCCCATCTGTGTGTTGCTGCTTGGTTCTCACACCTCTTGTGCGAAGCTCAGCTGCAGGTGGTGATGTGGGAGCAGTGCTGGGTCTCCTGCGCATCGCCCAGTGAAGCAGAGCTGTGGTTTGGCTGTGCCAGTCCTGCCCTGCTCTCAGCAGTGCCACAGCACAGGGTGTGTTTCTTCAGAGCTGGAGCTCACATCCCACAGAAGCATCGTGCCAGAACTGGGTGGATGCTGCCACTGAAATAGCTAACCTTTGCCTTGACAGCAGGGAAGAATGAAGGATTGCCAGTGCTTTGGTGGTGAGAAGCTCCAGGATGAGCTGCCCTCTTGGCTGAATTGGATCAGTCCTGGTCTGTGCTTAATAGGAAAATGTCCAAAAGCCTTATTTTCCCTTAACAGACTATATGAAGGAATTCTGAACTTTTCCTTGCCTCCATCCAGCTGCTTGCCTCTCGCTGGCAGGTCTCAAACCCACAAACCTCTATTGGGGATTTCTGTGGGTGCCACAGCCTGGTGGGGTATGAACATGAGTGCAGCTGGGGTTGTGGTGATGCCTCTCTAGCAGAGATCCTTCTCTCCAGGGGCTACCTACCACAAGGTCTGCTGGAGCACAAGCATGTCTGTGCAGCTGAGGCTTGCAGGGCAGCAGCCTGCAGGAGGAACGCTTGGCTTCAGCCTGTGGAGCTCCGGCAGCACGAGCTTTGTGTTGACAGTGGGAAGTAACTGATGACAGGGCAGGCTACCCCTCCTCTCTGCTCTATTTTCCACTCTTCATGAGCTTGCAGTGGTCCTGCCAGCAAGGAAGGCCAGGACAAAGTCCCTGACTGTCATCCTGTCCCCTTCAGCCCGCTCACAAGGAAGCACCGTGTTAGGCATTGACAGCGTCACTCGGCACTCCTGGGTTCAGCCCCATCTCTTCCCCTCTGCCCAGGTGGCAGCTCTCAGGTTTCAGCCTCCCAAAGTCTGGGCTGAGGAACTCCTGGCTGGAATTATTTTTGGCATGATGGACCATTTCTTCTAGATACACGCTTGTTTTAATTTGGGTTTCCAAGTGTACCAGGAGTTGTAATTGCATATACAGTCTGCATACAACCAGGAGGCAGAGCTGCAGGAGCAAGGTCCTCATTTGAAGTGGAGGATGGAGGGCAGGAATAACACTGGCAGCGCTGTCTCCACAGTGAGTATCCCTCGTGCGCCCTATCACAGAGGGAGACCCCGCTCTTGGCTTGATCAATTCCTCACTGAAGGGGCTGAGCTTCTCCTGTTCCTGGGGATCCTGGTGAGGTTTTGTTCATCCTGTCAGATGGATTTTCTGAGACATGCCTGGGCTTCCACAAGGCGGGGCAGGATGGTCAGGGTAGAGATGCTGAAGCACCCCACTTGCACCCTGCAGAGCCACTCGGGGTGTGTGTGCATGGAAGAGCCTCAGGGCTGGGAGTCACTGGATTTCTCTCTTTGTGCCTTTCCCATGCAGGGAATTCCATTAGCTATTGAAACCCTGCCTGGGAGCGTAGGGCTTCAGCACTATCGCATCTGGTGGGATAGGTCTGGAGGTTACATATCACCAAAAAAGATCCATAACTGACCCAGAGCCTGGAAGAGCCCCTTCCTCATGTGGCTGCAGCAGTTCTAACCACGGGCATGTATTGGATTCCTTCATGTCCTTCAGACTGAAAAACAGGTTGCTTCTTTTCTAATGGGGGCTGCACAGTTGGGATTACTGGAAGCACATCCTTTCTGCTTGCAAAGAATAATGTTAGGTGCCATTAAGTTAAAGTTGTTTCCATATAAGCATGAAGGTGAGTGCCAGGCTGTTTTGCTTCAGATGACAGCTTGGTCTGCACAAGAACAGCTGATAAAGAAGGTAAATACAACCAAACAGAGTGGGGCACTGAAGCAGGATCGCTCCAACAGGGGCTGTTCCAAATCCTGATGGTTCTCTGGGGATTTCTGCTATAAACCAAAGTAAGTTAATTTGCTGCTAAAGCACAGCAGCAGCAGCTCCTCTTTGTGGAAAGCTTCCAGCTCCAGCCCTTCTCCAATGGCTTCCCAGCGTTTCCATGCTCCTGTGGCTGCAGGAGGAAGGTGCTCAGCTGTGGGAGTACCCATCACCAGGATGTCAGACCTGAAACTCCAGCACTGTGGGATAAAAGTGATGTTATTCCAGGGCTGCTGTGATGTTTGGGCAGTTCTGCACTCAAACCCCCTCAGTTTGTGCAATGATCTGTGTCGTCAGTGGGAATTGCCTGTTATGGGGAAGAAGAATAATCAGTAGGAGGGTTGATTTTAACTCCTTTCCTTCTTGCCTTGGCTCCCAGGACAGGAGAGCTGCAGTGTGCTTCACAGCTCCACGCAGGACCTTCTGCATCATCCTGTCCATCGCCTTGCTCTGTGCCATTGGCATCAGCATCCTGGGGGTTCTCATCTTCTCCCCCAGCTCTTCTGAGGTAAGAGACCCCAGTCAGGCAGGAAGCCTTCTGCTCACCACAGCCTTAATGTGTGTCAGCACTTGGTGGGAGGGATGAATGGGCTGCTGTCCTGGATTCAGCTGGTTTTCAACTGTACAGTTGCTTTTCTCCTTCTTAGTAGCTTGTGCAGAGCTGTTTTGGCTTTAGCCTCAGAACAGAGCTGGTAACACACTGATGTTTTAGTTGTTGCTCAGTAGTGCTTCCCTGATCAAGGACTTTTCAGTCTCATGCTCTGCCAGTGAGGGGGGGCACAGGAAGCTGGAAGGAAGCAGAGACAGCACCCCTGTCCCAAACTAGCCAAGGGGTATTCCATCCCACAGCACATCATGCCCATGATAGAGACCGGGGGGAGTCACCTGGAAGGCTCAGATCACTGCTCGGGCTGGGCTGGGTCGGTGGGTGCTGAGCAATTGTATTGGGCATCACTTGTGTTTATTATTGGGTTTTTCCTTCCTTTTTTAGTTTCATATTCTCTCCCCTTGTTATTCCCCTTATCATTATTGTTATTGGTGGTAGCAGCAGTGGGTTTGTGTTATACCTGAGTTACTGCACTGTTCCTGTCTCAATCCATGGGATTTACATTCTGCTGATTCTGCTCCCCATCCCTCCAGAGCAGAGGTGGACACAGACGGGGTGTGAGCATGGTTCTGGGTTACTGGCTGGGCTTAAACCGTGATAGCTGTGATCTGGACTGGCTTCAGCTGGTTCCCATTTCTGGAAGACCAGCAGGCACAGGGGCAGGAAAGTGCTGGCAGCGCTGGCGAAGTGGCTGCTAAAAACAGCATCCCTTCAAGTGAGTCTCAGTGTGAGGGCTGAGCTCCTCTGTGTCAACGCAGGAGAGTTCCGATGTGTGGCCTCTGAGGGAGGGTGAGCTGCCAGTGAGCTGTGCTGGCTGGGGAGGCAGATCCTGCTCTCCTGAGCTCCCCCCTGCATCCAGCTCTGGGGCAGCAGCACAAGAGGGGCATGGAGCTGTTGGAGTGAGTCCAGAGGAGGCCATGAGGATAGTCAGGGGCAGGAGCAACTCCTGTCTGCAAACAGGCTGAGAACACTGGGCTGTTCAGCCTGGAGAAGAGAAGGCTCCTTAAGGGGAGACCTGAGAGCAGCTCCAGTGCCTAAAGGGGCTGCAGGAAAGCTGGAGAGGGGCTTTGGACAAGGGCCTGTAGGGACAAGCCAAGGGGAATGGCTTTAACCTGCCAGAGGGGAGACTGAGATGAGCTCTTAGGCAGAAGCTCTTCCCTGTGAGGGTGCTGAGGCACTGGCACAGGGTGCCCAGAGAAGCTGTGGCTGCCCCATCCCTGGCAGTGTTCAAGGCCAGGTTGGACACAGGGGCTTGGAGGTAGCTACTCTAGTGGAAGGTGTCCCTGCCCGTGGCAGGGGTTGGAGCTGGAGGAGCTTTAAGGTCCCTTCAGCCCAAACCAGGCTGGGATTCTATGATTGGTGGCACTGTCCCTCTCTTTGTGCCCAGGCTGGCTCGCAGCTCATCCACCTGACACTTCAGGGCCAGCAGGACCTGCTGAGAAATCAGACAGCTTTGGTGGACAAGTCCAGGAGCACCGTGACCTACTACATCACCTCACAGAGCAACCACACCGCCGTGGTGCTGTACGACAGCAGGAATGTAAGTGTGTTAAATCACCTTCCTCGTGTGCAGGGGAGTGAACAGAGGAGCCCAGGCTGGTGGGAGAAGAGTTACAGAGGTGGGAGCAGGAGGTGTAGACCAGGAAGTGCATTAACCAGCCACTTTAGGTGCCTTTCTCTGCACCTTTAGGCAGGAAAGAACACAGGGCAAAAGGAGGGATGTCCATTTGGGGGCTGTTAAGGTAGCTGTGGGGGCCGCTGACTGCTCTAAGGGGGCACAATCTGTCTTGCAGGGCTACGTGTGCTACAAGCCCATGGAGCAGCGTGTGTGCTACCTGAAGAGGATGGACTCCTGGGACCTCCAAGCCCTACAGACACCTCTCAACACGTCTGAGCAGAGAGTGAGCAGCGGCTGCGGCCACTCCTGGGGCAGCTGAGTGGTCAGGGGTGATGAATTGGGCTTTGCACAGAGTCCTGCCTTGCTGAAGGCCCTTTCCTGCAGGGATTTGGGTTTGCAGTGCTGACTCTTTAACACCAGCATCCCAGATATGGCTAAATGAGGGCAGGGGCTCTCCCAGCCGGGGGTAGCAGCAGCAGCAGTTCACTGCTTGGTGGGGCTGGGTTGGTGCCTGGCGCAGGAGCAGGGCTCTGCTTTGGAGTGCTGTGTGTGAGCTCAGAGCAGCAGCTCCTGCTTTTATGGATACCCAATCTGTGAGAAACAGCAGAGCTGCACTTGGGAAGGGGGGATATGTCCCATGGGGTGAATAGCAGGGCTCTCACAGGACCCACTCCCACTGGATTCTGTTACCTGCTCAGAAATCCAGGGAACAAAAAACAAAGGAGGCTTGTTAGCAATTCACGGGGAGGAAGGTTGGAGCAAATCATGTACACAGACCCTCTGAACTCCATGCTAATGAATGCATGGGCAGGGGGCAGATTCTGTTTCAAGAAGACAGAAGGCCCCATGGTTTTGTGCCTGTCATCTGCTCTCCATTACCTCGGGGGCTCCTTTGCCTGCTGCTGTAGTGTTTAACCCAGAGCAGTGAAGGAGCACAGCACCCACCAGGGCAGGCTACCGAAGGGATTGCAAAGAGGAGAAAGCATCTGCCTAGCTGTGAGGCTCCTTAATGGAAGTCAAAGAGTCTGTGGTGCCTGTCCCTGCCATCAAATGGCCTGTGTGTCCCCTGCTCCCCAGGCCGCAGGGCCAGGAGGGACAAAGAGCCTGCGGAGGAACTAACAGGGACGTTGTTTGTTCCAGGCTGATCAGCTGCTCCGTCTCAATAACCAGACCAAGCACTACCAGGAGTTCCTGGGTGTTCTGGCAGGGGGAGAGGTGGACCCCCAGGGCCTGGGGGAGGCTGTGCAGACCCTGTGTGAGCAGACTCCCATCTTCAGAGTCAGGAGAAGCGAGGGTGAGTGGTGTGTGTGTTTCCCTTTGCACAGGAGGGAGGTGTGGTTGTTCTAGTACCTCTCAGAGGAGCAGGTTGGGCTGTGCAGAAGCTGATGCATGTCCTAGGATGGGCTGCCAAGGGACAGGTGACCTCTAGTGAGAATCAAACCATTGTTAGTGCTCCCCAAGGGCTGGCTCGTACCCACAACCTGCAGTGAGCCGGCTGGCAAAGGCTCTGAGGCCCCTTCTCCAGGCAGCACAGCAGCTTGTGCATCCACAGAGCAGTCCCCTGCACTGCTGGTGGCTTAATGCTTGTCACCTCCATCCTCACCAAAGCAACCTGCTGAGCTCTCCTTCTGTTCCATCTCACTCCAGCTTTAATGGGAAAGGTCATTCCTGGAGGCTCTCTGCTTGGCTGGCTCCCCAGCGACTACAGGAGCTTTCCCCTCACCCTGCTTCTGTCCTTGCTCATTTGGCAGGTCCAGGGAAGCAGCGCCTCATCTACCTTTGCATTGACATCTGCTTTCCAAGCAACATTTGTGTGTCTATCTGCTTCTATTACCTCCCCGAGTAAGTCCTGCGGCCATGGATTCCCTCTCTACATACTTGAACTGGATTCCTGAGACACCTCTGATTCCAAGGAAGGTAACAGCTCCACTAGCCCCCAGAGCTTCCTGATCTCATGCTGCTGGCAAGGACTGTTTAGAGAATGACCATAACACTGCAGCTGACCATGACAGACACTTTATTTGCAGCTGTGCTCAGGGCTGCACCATGTACATAGGTATTAGGAGATCCAGGCCTAGAGGTATTTTGTGGTGTAGCTTGTGTTACATGGCTACAAGCCCTGCTCAACACAAGGTTATTACACTTGTTGGGGGGGTTGGCTTTTTACCAGTGCAGCTCTCCCAGTGAGTCTGTGGCATACACTTGAATAAAGGGATTGCAAACCAAGGAATCAGCTGCCTCTCCTCTGCTCAGCCTCTTCCAACAGTTAGAAAGGCCGATTTATTTTTCCCCCACTTTGGGATACAGGAACATCACACAGCTGTCAGCAGCTGATGCCACAGGGATTCCTCTGGCTGAACAGCACCCTGCTGCCCTCGGTGGGATCCTGCCTCCCTCTCCCATTCCCTTTTGTCCAGGCAGCCTCCCTTGGAAGCCACATGTGTTTCAGTAATGATGTGCTTGGAGCTGCAGCCTGGTCCCACTGAGGCAGAGGCAGCTGCTGCTGCCAGAGCCTGAGCCCTCCACCAGAGGAGGGGACGGTGGTTGCAGGTCGTGTCTTGGGCTCCAGAGATGGTGTTGCCACTGCAGGACAAGTGACAACAAGCAGAGGTCCTCTCCTCCCACATGTGGCCATTAGCCCAAGACGCTGTCGTTGAAAGCCAGGCAGACAACTGCTTTCTGGTGGCCACTGTATTCCCTCTTGATCTCTCCTGTCTCCACGCACCAAAGTCTGGCCAGGTTGTCAGAGGAGGCTGGAGAGAAATGGGAGAAGAATGGGTAAACTGCATTAACCTTTACACTTACCTTTTAATTACTATTACAAGACTTTCCCCTTGCGTCATTCAACACCATTATTACGACAAGAGGTAAGGGAGCTGTGTAGAGCAAGAAGCTTGCTGCATTTCTGTATTACACAGAGGTTTACTGTTACGGTTGATGTTACAACATGTGTGGTTTGAAGGGACCATCCTGCCTCATGCTGCAAGGTGAAACAAACTGCACAGGTAAAAAACATCCCTCCAGTTTAAACAGATGCCCTGTTGCAGCACAGGGAGTTAGCAGACACTTAGAGGAGTTAGTAGATGCTTAAGAGATTTTAGTAGACACTTAAGGGAGTCAGTAAACGCTTAAGGGAGTTAGTAGACACTTAAGGGAGTGAGTAGGCTGTGTTGTGGGTGTGAGGCTGGGTGCTCTCCTCACCCAGCTGGGTTTGGCAATGTCCCAGCTACAGAAATGGGTGAGTCCTGTGCTCGTGCAGGGCCCTGGAGCCCAAACCAAGTGGTGCAGCAGGGCCTACCTGTGACGATGTACTGGGAGTCCCCAGAGAAGGCGCAGTCCCACATCCAGCCCCGAGACGTCTCTCCTGGGTTATTGCTCTTAATGCTCAGCTCTGTCATCAACGAGAAGTTTGAAGTCCTCCAGATCTTGCAGGTCTGATCTGCAGAACACGTAGCCAAGAGTCTGCGAGGAAGAGACGTGCAAGGGCAGTCTCATTAGTCACACTGCACGCCCAAGGGCCTCTCGTTGACTTGGGCCTGGACCAGTAGCGAACTGGAGACCTGAGCTCATTGCAATCACACTTCTTTACACCTACGTCATCTGCTTTACAAGATTTGAGCTGAACAAGCTTGTGAAGGACACCAAGTTCCCCACTTTGCTCCTGGAGATCAGCAACTGAACCCCAGCTTCACAACACCTCACAGCCACAAAGCTTGTTGAGATCATGGTCCACGAGGCTGGGATGCACTGACAGCAACTCAGTGCCATGTCCTGCTCCTCCCTGGGGACCTGCAGGGCAGCGTGGAGCCAGCACCAGCCACATCTGGAGGTGCAGCTGGCCTCTGCTTGCCCAAAAGGACCATCATTTCCCACCACTGGCTGCAGCACTCACGTGGAGTCGGGGCTGAACTTGCACTGAAGCGCGTAGCGGTTGTGTGCAGGGATCTTGGTCTTGGGGATCAGCTGAGTCACCTCCTCCCCGATGCCACCCGTCAGGTTCCACACGTAGCAGTTTCCCTGTGGGGAGACGGGGTGATGGTTGCCCACCCCAAAGCAGCCTGGACTTCCCATGTCTGACCCCAGCCATGCTGCAGGCAATGCCAGTACATGCACCTGAGCACCATAAATCCCCCCCACACACACTGGATGCCATTGCGGCTCACCGAGCTGTTCACAGCTGCCATGTAACTGGCATCGGGGTCAATGTGAACTGAGTTCACAGAAACTTCAGGCTCTGGAATCAGCTGCTCGTTGTGGTCGGTCTTCAGGTCCCAGATGTGAATGGCGCCGCTCTGATCACCCACGATCAGCTCTGCCTGCAAGAGAGAGCAGCCTCGTGTCTCTGAGGAGAACCCCACAAGCAGCAGCCTCAGGCTGATGCTCAGATCATGCCCGTGAAGCCTTGCTCTGGGTTTAACCATCATGGTCCTGTTTCGCCTCATTATTCTGCAGCACAGGGCTGCTTCAGAGCCCTAGGAACCTGCTGAGTGCCTGTGCACTGGGAGCAAGCAGAGCACGGACCTCACACTGCAAAAAGGCTTTACAGAAGCGTTTGCTCACTTTATATACCCCAGAGCAGACAGAAGCTGCCTCAGTTTCAGAACCTTTGCACAGCTCCAGCAGCTTCCACAGAAGCCAAAGGATTTTCAGCACGTCCCAGCCACGGGCATTCAGATGTGGGTTGGCCGGTGAACAACTGAAGCACTCAGGAGTGTACAAATACCTGAGAACCTCCAGCCTAAATGGGCTTTTCTCCCTCCCTCCCCTTCTCAGGGGAAGGACAAGAGGAAGCTGAAGGGCAGAGCTCTGGCTCCACTCCCGTGCTCGGAGCAGACCATGCTGGCAGCTCTCCACTAACCCAGGGCTTTTATCGACAGCTATGCGACAGCATCGCTTCAGCAGGTTCCCTGCAGGACAGCAGGTCCCAGGACCAGCTATTCCTGTCCCCCAAGGCAAAGGCTGGCTCCTGAGGAACACAGTTTGGAGTCTTTCTGGTTCTTGAGACCCAACTCCCTCTTAGCAGCTGTAAATGCCATTGCTAAAGCCATCACCGCTGTACCCAGGCTGTGAGAAGCCTCTCACCAGCATCCTGGCAACAGGGAACTGCAGAGGGATGAAGCCATCCACATAAACACTGCCACCTTTGGACTAACTAATTGCCTTCTGCTCACAGACCAGCACCTCAGCAGCATCTCAGCCAGTGATTACTTCATGTGTAAGATCTATGTACAACAATAATGCTTGGCTTTAACATTGTATGTTCGCACAGCACTGGCTCTATAGGAGCATCAGCAGCGTCTGGGTGAAGTGTGATCCAAATCATTGATCTCAAATCGGGTCTGAAATTCCAGACTTGGAGGTTAAACCTTTTGAAGATCAAACACAAAGAAACATTTCTGGTGCTCGGCTGTTTACAAAGGTTTGTGCTGCTGAGTCTGTGAACACAAAATGGACCAGATGGGTTATTAACACTACAATGAGACCACCACCATTCCCTCCAACGCTCTGTGCTCCAGCTTAGCCTTGTTTCTCAAGCCCCAGCCATCCCTTCCTTCATCACCCAAGTGGTGAACATGAACCTCGAGCAAATCTGACCCAAGTCCTGACGGTAACTGCAGCCCTGGGGTGTGCTCCTTGGCAGAGGTAACACCCTCACACTCCCCATCCCACCCAGTGCTGCCACTACCGTCCCTTTGCAACAGCCACTAGGTAATGAGCACAAACGTGGCTGCTCCATGTCCTGCAATGCTCATGGGTCTTTGCCACCAGATCTCTTGCTGTGGATGCCATATAGAACTCTGCAGCCCCTCAGGCCTACCCGGAGGAGCAAGAGTAAAGTCTGGGCTGTGAAGCCGCAGTGAGACCAGTGCTCACCTGGTTGGGGTGCAGGCACACACAGTTAATGGGAGCGTTCACCTGGAAGATGCGCTGGCACTGGAGGTTACGAGACCTGCAAGAGAACAGGGAGCACAGAGCGTGGTTAACGGCGTGTGATGAGCTCCACAGCTCTGGGATGCTGCTGCTGGTGGCGGTGGTGCCGGTGCCCACCTGAGGTCCCAGATCCTGGCCATGCAGTCCTCCCCGCCCGTGTACATCCAGCGCCCGTCCTCGTGGAAGCCCACCGAGGTGATGTTCTTGCTCACGCCGTCGTAGTTGATGACGGGATTGGGGTTGTTGGAGTTGAGGTCGTACATGCGGATGTGCTGGTAGCCTGCAGCGAGGAGCGGGCAGGGGGTGACCCACGGTCCCGCTGCCACCCGTGCCCGCTGTCACCGGGGCCGGGCGCGCTCACCTGCGGCAGCGATCATGCTGCGGTCCGGTGTGATCTCCAGCGCGTTCACCTGCTGCACGCACCCGTTAAGGTCCGTACGAAGCAGCCGGAGCCCGAGCCCGGCCCCCGCGCTCCCGCACCCGGTGTGCGGCACCCCCCGGTGAAGGATACGGAGTCCTGGTGCTGCACGGTGCGGGTGCAGATGCCGCTGTGCGCCTGCCAGAACCGCACCGTGTGGTCGTAGCCGGCCGTGGCCAGGATGACCGGGTCGCTGCCCACCGTGCCCTGCGCCGCGTTCATGGTCACCGCGCGGCGGGCACCGGGACCCAGCGGAGCCCCCGCTCCGTCCCGGTACCGGCGCTGAGCGCTCTGCGCACGCGCGGAAAGCGCGGCAGCTCAGCGCGCATGGAGTGACGCCGCTTGAGGCGGGCTCTGTGGAGAGCGCATGTGCAGAGCGGGACGGCGGGAGGTACCATGAGCGCTGCGGGGGGGGGGCGAGACCATGGAGCAACGGGGGAAGGAGCGGGGCACCAGCGGAACCGCCAGGGGGCGCCTGCTGAGAACCGCGGGAGGGCAGCGGGGACCCAAACCGGAACCGGGCACCAGAACCGGGCACCAGAACCGGGCACCGGAACCGGGCACCGGAACCGGGCACCCACCGGAACCGGGCACCGGACACCGGAACCGGGCACCAGAACCGGGCACCGGAACCGGGCACTAGAACTGGGAACCCACCGGAACCGGGTACCGGAACCGGGCACTAGAACCGGGCACCCACCGGAACCGGGCACCGGAACCTGGCACTAGAACCGGGAACCCACCGGAACCGGACACCGGAACCGGGCACTAGAACCGGGCACCCACCGGAACCGGGCACCGGAACCGGGCACCCACCGGAACCGGGTACCGGAACTGGGCACTAGAACCGGGAACCCACCGGAACCGGGCACCGGAACCGGGCACCCACCGGAACCGGGTACCGGAACCGGGCACTAGAACCGGGAACCCACCGGAACCGGGCACCGGACACCGGAACCGGGCACCAGAACCGGGCACCGGAACCGGGCACTAGAACCGGGACCCCACCGGAACCGGGCACTAGAACCAGGAACCGGACACTAGAACCGGGAACCCACCGGAACCGGGCACTAGAACCGGGAACCCACCGGAACCGGGCACTAGAACCAGGAACCGGACACTAGAACCGGGAACCCACCGGAACCGGGCACCAGAACCGGGCACTAGAACCGGGCACCCACCGGAACCGGGCACTAGAACCAGGAACCGAACACCGGAACGGGGCACCGGAACCGGACACTAGAACTGGGAACCCACCGGAACCGGGCACCAGAACCGGGCACTAGAACCGGGCACCGGAACCGGGCACTAGAACCGGGCACCGAAGCCGGGCACTAGAACCGGGAACCCACCGGAACCAGGCACCGGAACCGGACACTAGAACCAGGAACCGAACACTGGAATGGGGCACCGGAACCGGGCACTAGAACCGGGCACCGAAACCGGGCACTAGAACCGGGAACCCACCGGAACCAGGCACCGGAACCGGACACTAGAACCAGGAACCGAACACCGGAACGGGGCACCGGAACCGGGCACACACCGGAACCGGGCACACACCGGGCTCTGGCAGGCCCGCCGAGGAGTGGTCTCGGTACCACCCCTTCGGGCCGGTGCCACCCCCGGGGCAGGGCCGTGCCGGTGTCCCCTCCGCGCCTGTGTCGCACCGGTGCGTGGGGCCCGGTCCCCGCCCTACCGGTGCCGCCCCGCTGTGCACGGGGGTGTCGGGGACCGGAGCATCCTCTGCTCTTCCCACCGCAGCGCCCGCGGTGCCGCCGCAGAACGGGCCCTTTAAGAGCGGCAGCGGCTGCGGTCCGGGCTCGAACCCGCTCCCGGCAGTGCCCGCGGCGGCCCCGCACCTGCCGGTAAGGGCCGGGGGAGCCGGGGATGGCCGGAGGGGCGGGGATGCTGGGATGCCCGGTGTGATGCAGGGATGCTCAGGGGGATGCAGGGATGCCCGAGGTGATGCAGGGATGCTGGAATGCCCGGTTGCCAGGGGGATACAGGGATGCTCAATGGGATGCAGAGATTCCCAGTGCCGCAGTGGGGACCGGGGCCGCCAGGATGGAGAGCAGAGCCCAGAGGCTGCTGTAGGGCAAGGGGATGCCTGAGTGGTACCCAGGACGTGGGGTGGCCCCACCTGTGGGGTGCAGGGGGTGAACAAGGCCCCCTCCTGCCGCTGTTAGGGCTCAGGGTCCGCAGCTCCCCATGGCAAGGGGCAGCTCATCCCCATGGAACACCTGGGAATGAGGGGCGGCCTCGGCCAGGCTGACAGAGGAAGGCTCTGGAAGCGTGTGAGCGTGCACGTGAGTGCGAGCGTGCACAGGGGGGTGCACGGAGCAGCATCACTCTTCTGATGGAGCGAGGGTTTGGCATGGCGATGGCCGGGAATGACAGAGCAGAGGGGTGAGCAGGGGGTGGCATCCAAACCCCACAGCGGCACCCCAAATCCTGCTGCCATCCCGTGCCCTACAGCACCCAGGAGGCTCTCAGCTCCATCCTCCCCATGGCCCCACTCTCCCCAGGCCCAGGTTTGGATTTGCTTCCGTTCCCCCCCTCCTCCAGGCTCGGGAAGGTGAGCAGGGAACCGGGCTGGTTTTGGGGAGTGGGGCGCAAACCCCACCTGTGTGGGTGAGGGTCCGTTCCCTCCTTGCCCATGGCTCCTGCGAGCACCGAGCCAGGGGCTGCTCCGAGCCTCCCGGGGACCGTGCCAGCGCCGTCCCCAAAGGGTTGGCAGAGGAAGATGTCACATTCCCAAGCCCAGCGGGTGCTGGCGGCAGGATGCCGGGAGCGAGGGGCGGCGTGGATCAGCTGAGCCCTGCCTACAAAGGGATCACCCGTCGGCACTGGCACCGCATCGTGGCTGCCCCATACCCCCTTGGTGCTGTGCCCCATGTGCCCACCCTGCCTGAGCCGTGCCAGTTGGGGCTTGGATCCCAGAACCTGTTCTCAGTTTAAGATCACGCAGTAAAAGCGCCAGCTCTGAGCAGGCTGACAGCGTCTGTCTCAATATTGATCCCTGCTCCGATCCGGCGCCGTGTTCCCATCACAGCACCATCAGCACTCGGCATGGTTATGGTCTTCCTGGGTGCTGGGCTCCCCGTGCCCACCCCGTGCCCAATCCCATGTCCCCCGGTGCCTCCTCATGCACCCAGTGGAGGTGACGCCGGGCTGGCAGCATCCCCAGCCTGGCACGTTCCTATTCCCAGCTTGGCACATCCCTGCTGTGCTGTGCTGGAGCTGCCAGGAGCACCCAGGGCTGAGAGTGGGTGCCACGTCTGTCCCCTGAGCACAGGGCATTGTGTCCATGCAGGGGTGTGTGTAGGGGACAGCGCGGGCACGACATGCTCCAAAACCAGGCTCCTGCCCTGCAGCCTGTGCATGAGCACTAAGGGATCTGGTACCTGTGGGATCTGGGTGATGGGGATGGAGATGAGGATAGGGATGGGATGCTCCAGCTCCTTCCCGCACTGCCCTGTGATGTGACTGTACTGGGGCCTTGTGCTCTGGGGACAGCGCATCCCAGGCTGGCTCTGCAGGATGTGCCAGGGGTCCCGGTCTCTGCACCCTTCCTGTGCCCCATGGCAGTGGAACAGCATGTCCAGAGGGATTAGTGCTGTGTCTTGGGCAAGGGCTGGTTCAGAGCCCTGGCACGGGGCAGCTCAGCGGCTGTCCCCTGGTGCCAATCCTTTGGCACCACCAACCAAACCCTCGCGATCGGCTGAGCCGCTTGTGCACCACCAAAGCTGCTTTTCAGTTCCCAAATCCATCAGCTGCTGGGTTGAGCCCTGAATTCAGGTGCAGCTCAGCCAAAAGGGCTTTGGGAGCTTCTGGGGTGTCCCAGTGCTGTCCCAGTGTGGTGCTCACCAGGGTTTGGGCACGTGGAGCATCTCCTGCTGCTGCGGGGCTGGTGTCAGGGCTGGTCACACACTGAATACAGATCTCTGCACAAGCCCTTGGGCTGTAGCCATGGGGGGCAGCGGGGAAGGGGCACCCACTGCCTCCTGCTCCATGGAGCTGCCTGTGGTTTGGGCTCACACCCAGCTAAATTGGTCCATCCCCATCTCAGGAGTTATCAGTATTGCTTTAGGGGGGAAAAAAGGACTTTGAATGAATATGATTGACCTTAATTGTGGCAACTCTGACTCGAGCTTTCCGTGTCCCACGAGGGATCAGACACTGGTTTGTGCCCCTTCCCCGCCATGGTGGATGGTGCCTGTCCCCATGGGTGCTGGGGAGGGGTCCACGCTGCCACCCTCATACCCGTGCCCATCCCGTGTTCCCGGTGGTCCAATCCCCTCCCCTCCATCCGCAGGGATCCCCCTTGATGCCACCGCAGCCACCGGCCCTGTGACACTGCCCCGGCCTCGCAGGGCTCAGGGGACCCCGCTGGGGACCTGCCCTGCAGCCACCACCCTGTTTGCTCCCGCGCTGGCAGAGCCAAGGAGGCTGCGCCCGTGCAGGCAGAGGCAAAGGCAGCTGCGGCCGCTGGCCCCAGCCTGGGGCACATGAGGTAGGAGGGACACGGGGTACCCTGAGCATGGCCCCATGGGGAGCGGGGTGCTGGGAGGGTACCCCCCCCTTTCTCCAGGTCTGGTGCTGCCCTGGCCATGGGGATGGATGGGGGTGCTGGGGTCCCTGCCTGGCCCCGGGGTGCTGCCTGGGACCTCCGTGTGTGTCCTGCAGGGATGGGCTTCCAGCGGAGCCACCGGCTGAACCTGCTGCGCCTCGTCGTGCTGCTCCTCGTGGCCTTGGCTGGCATCAAGTTCCTGTTCCGTGACAGGTAAAGAGACCCGGGGGGGTTCATGGGGACCCCCTGGGTGTGGTGGGGCACCCCAGCAATGATGCGGTCCCTGCAGCTTTACCCTGGAGCTGCAGAAGCACGTGAGCAAGGACAGCGGGTTCTGGGGGGATGCTGGTGACAGCATCGAGGACACCGGCCCCCAGAGCCAGGTCCTGCTGCTCCCTGTGGCCAAGATAACAGCCCCGAGGCAGGAGCCTGGGCAGCAGCAGGTCACCAGGGACATCAGTGCCACCGAGATGAGGCTGGTCCACCTGGACCTCAAGGGAGCTGCGCCCCGCGTCTCCTACCTGGAGCAGGTGAGATAGATGCTGGGGATGGGAAGGATGTGCCGGGAGGGATGTGCCCAGGGGGCTGAGCACCAGGAACGAGCCCACGCTGCCCAATGCAGGTGTTCCCGCTCCTGTCCCTGCTGGGAGCCAACGGCGTCCTCATGGAGTACGAGGACATGTTCCCCTTCAAAGGGGAGCTGGAAGTCCTCAAGTCCCCATACGCATACAGGTGAGCCAGGGCTGGGTGTGACACGCCCGGCCCCATGATAACCACGGTGCGAGGGCCGGGCCGGGTGCCCCAGCCCAGCTTCCTGCCCCGCAGGGTCAATATTTGTGTCCCCATAGCAAAGTCCAGGCGGGTGTGGGGCGGCCGGGGCCGCGCGGGCAGGGTGCCGGGGGAGCGGGAGGAGGGAATGGCCTCGTGCTGTGCCCTGTGCCCGCGCTGAGCCCGTCCCTGCCCTCCCAGCGAGGAGGACATCGAGCGCATCCAGCAGCTGGCGGAGCTGCACAGGCTGGAGGTGGTTCCCCTGGTGCAGACCTTTGGGCACGTGGAGGTAGGGGATGCTCCTGCTCCTCATCCCACGTCGTGATGAGGGGGGTCCAGGGTGATCGCAGCCCCTGACGGCTCCTCCGGTGCAGTTCATCCTCAAGCACGAGAAGTACCAGCGCCTGCGGGAGGTCGAGCGCTTCCCCAACAGCTTCAACCCTCACAGCCCTGACACCCTGGCCCTGCTCAAGAGCATCCTGGCACAGGTGATCGAGAAGCACAAGCGCTCCACGTGGATCCACATCGGTGCAGATGAGGTGGGCACTGGGCTCTGCCGGGACCCCAGCCCTCACCCAGGCTCTGTGGGTGTTCCTAGGGCTGCTGAGCATCCTCCTTCTCCCAATCCAGGTCTTCCATCTCGGGGAGGGGACGGACTCCAAGAACTGGATGAGCCACAACAAGGGTGACACGGGGACCATGTACCTGAACCACATCAAGGAGGTGCTGGGCTTCATCACCACGCAGTACTGGGGGCTGCGGGTGCTCATGTGGGACGACATGCTGCGGAAGATCAGCGTGGGAGCCCTGCAGGGTGAGCGGATGGGGATAAAGCAGTTGGTGGAACAGGAGCTTCGGTGTCTGTATGGTGTCGTGGCTGGTGCCTGGTCCTGCAGGGACGCAGGTCCCGGGGAGCATAAGGAGCATCAGGCATCCTCCTGCTGCTGGTACCAGCATCCTCATCCCTGTCCCTGCTCCCTCTGCAGAGTCTGGGATAGCGAAGCACGTCTCGCCTGTGGTGTGGTTCTATGCACCCGACTTTGAGGCCGAGCAGCTCGGTAAGGCGATGTGCCTGGGCTGGTGGAGGAGGCTGCCCCCAGGTCCCCCCCCAGCCTCCCGGGTACGGTACCGCCGGTGTCCCCCCCACCCCGCAGTGCCGTTCCTCACCAAGTATGCGGAGAGCGGCTTCGAGGCCGTGTGGTTCGCCAGCGCCTTCAAGGGCACCACAGGACCAGCGCAGGCCTGGCCCCCGCTGAGCTTCCACCTGAGGAACCACCTGAGCTGGCTGCGGGTGATGGAGGCGCTGCCCCAGCTGGCCCCGCTGCGCCTCCAGGGCATCGTCCTCACGGGCTGGCAGAGGTGAGGGTGCTGGTACCCTCATCCCCCCTGGTGCCATGCAGGAGGTGATGGGTGATGCTCCTGCCCGCAGGTACGATCACTACTCGGTGCTCTGTGAGCTGCTCCCTGTTGGAATCCCCTCGCTGGCCATTTGCCTGCAGACCCTGGTGACCGGTGAGCCTCCACCACCCTGCTGCCAGCCCCATCTCCCTACCCCACAGTGAGACCCCATCCTGCAGGGAAGGGTGCTGGGAGGTGGGAAGCAGGGGAAGGATGGGTTCAGCTCCCCTGGCTTTGCTGGTGGGGTGGCCCCTTCTGCCCTTCTCTTTGCTCTGCCCAGGGGGATTCACGGAAGAGACAAAGAGGAAGGTCCTGGATGTGCTGGGCTTCGAGAGCATGCAGCTGGAGCAGAGCACATGGCGAGTGGCTGTGCTGGGGGTGGCCACAGCACCGCTGTCCCATGGCATCTGAAGGGATGCACTGGAGGGGGTCCCAGACCCACTTGGGGCTGAGGATACCCCAGCCCTGTGCACCCCACATGTTGAGCTCTCACCTTCTCCCTTCCCCAGCGAGGGCAGGGGGGTGTTCCCCGGCGCAGAGATCTACCACATGGTTGAGCAGGTTAACGGCCACCTGAAGGAGAGCATCTATAAAGCCCTGGAGGAGGAGAGGTAACAAACAGCAGGGCCGGAGCACAGGACTTTTCCCATGGGATGGGACTTGCTCACGTACAGGTCCCCATCCCTGGGTGCCCCCCACTCCCCCTTGTGCCTCCCCAGTGCCATCAAGGGCTGGTTCAGCCCCTACCATCGGAAGCACCAGTTTGGTAACCCCCGAAACATGGAGAGCTTTGGCAGCAAGGTGCTCAAGTACGTGATGCTGGGACCCCCCTGGGTGTGTGTGAGGGGCTCAGCTCTGGGGTCCCTCACAGGAGGGAGCTGGAGTCCCCTTTTTGCCCCCGCCAGGCTCCATGAGGACTGGGAGAGCTTCATCCGTGACCTGCGCACCCACTTGGAGAGGGTCTATTACCCCGACACGGTGGAGGAGTGGATGGAGGAGAACGTCAACCCCTACCTGGACCAGCTGCGGGACCTGGTGCGGGACTACCGGGCCATCATCCGCCTCAACGCCCGGCCCAAGGCCACGTAGGGGCCACTGACCCCCCCTCCCAGCTCCCGCTGCCCCCCCTGTGCTGGGCTTTGGGGCCAGGTCGCATGCGTGCCGGTGTCTGCGCTGCTGCTGTGGCTGCCCTGTACAGAGCACATCCCACATCCACAATAAAGTATTTTCGTAGATGCTGCTGGGTGCTGGAGGGGGCCACGGCTCTGCCCACCCTGTGCAGGCCAGCGGGGAGCTGGGGTCTGTCTTGTGACAGCTCATGGGCTCCTGGGTCCTGCTCTGCAGAGCGTGATGGAGGGCAGGGAGAGGGCAGCCCGTGCCCCGTGGTGCCTCCGGGCGCATGGAGACGTCCGTGTGCCCTGTGCTGTTCTTAAGAGCTGCTGTGTGCTCCCTACAGGATCATGGAGTCATGGAATGGTGAGAAGGGACCTTAAAGCTCATCCAGTTCCAGTGGCAGGGACACCTTACACTGGACCAGGTTGCTCCAAGCCCCTGTGTCCAACCTGGCCTGGGGCAGCCACAGCTTCTCTGGGCACCCTGTGCCAGTGTCCCAGCACCCTCAGCAGTGAGGGGAGGTGAATCCAGCCCCCCCATGCCCTCAGCTCTGCCCGTTCAGGGCTGGCTGGGGCCCGGTGTGTGCAGGGCAGCAGCACAGACACTTCACTGCACATTCCTCTGCTCTCCACAGCCCGACTTGGCAAGAGCCCGGAGGCAGCCGCAGGAACGCAAGATGGTTTGAGCTCCTCTGCAGGAGCCTGGCTTAGCCCGGTGAGGAGGGACAGTGGCCGTGTGCCCCTCTCAGCTCACACAGCCCCACTGCCTGGGTCCCGGCTCGGTTACAACGGTGCCGGTACCCAGTGAGGCCAATGGGGCTGCCCCGTCCCGTGTCAGTGCCGGGTCCCCGAGTGCAGGAGCCTGGCAGGAGAGAGCAATGGGCACAAAGGGACCTTTGTTGAGGAGCTTAGTTTGTTATCAAGCGGTGGCAGATGTGAGGGATGCCCCTGACCTGCCTGGGCCCCCGGGCACGTTGGGAGCCCCAGCCCCCAGCCCAGGGAGACCCAGAGCAGCTCAAGCCCCCCATGCAGCCGCAGGCAGCCCGGCTGTGGGATTAGAGGGCAGATTAGACGGCGTTTCCCGCTGGCATCCCAAATGTCCTGGATTGGGAAGTGGGGGTGGGGAGAGGAGATGGACCCCGCTGCCCATGAAGGGGGGGGTCAGCCTGGAGCCGGGGGCTGAAAAGGGAGTTGGGGGCTGCAAAGATCCTTGAGATCCAGCTTGGGGCATCAGGAGGAGCTCCGTTCCCTCCGTCATTCCCACTGCAGCCTCCCATCCCCATGCAGTGACCAATGCTTTAGTGGCCACCTGGGTACAGGTCTTCTGGACCACCACGCCCCAGTATCGGTTTGCTGGAGCCAGGACCTGCGCAGGGCTTTTAGACAGGAACTTACCTGGGGAGCAGGAATTTGGGTGTGATTTTGTGCGGTGATGGCCGTGCTCTGCACTGACCAGGCTCTATCAGCACATCAATGCCTCGTCCATGGCTGGCCCCATTTCCCATCTGGTTCATCAGCATCCCCAGCCCTCAGCACAGCCAAACACACACCCCACCCCCCGGCACCCCCGGCTTTAATGTCTCAGCCATTTAAGGCACAAAAAAGTGGAAGGGGACGAGTGTCCCTGGCCATTGTGGCTGCAGGAGTGGAAAATGAGGCGGTGATAAAGGCTTTATTTAAGGAAACGGGAAAGCTGCTCCAGCCTGGTTCCCATTAGCAGCCACCACAGGCTGGCGGTCGCCAGGCAGGGCTGCGGGAGGGGGGAGCAGAGGGGTCCTCCCGGAGGAAGGAGAGGCCGAAGGCGGCCTCCCTCCGGCCACGGGGCGGCTGAGACCCCGCGGCCCCGGGGCCTCCGCACCTTTCCCCTCACCGGGGGGATCCCCGCGCCCCGCCCGCGGGCACCGGCGCGGCCCCCGCCCCTTCCCCTCTTCCTCCTCCTCCTCCTCCTCCTCTCCCCTCCCTCCCGCTGCCCGCCGCGCTCCCGGTGCGGCCCCCCCCGCCCCGCCGCGCCCCGCCCCGCCCCGGGCGCCCGCCGCCGCCGCCGCCGCCTCCGGAGCGGGCTGGGCGGGGGGGCCCGCGCCGCGCCGTGCCCGTACCGAGCCGTGCGGAGCCCAACCGAGCCGCCCGCCCCGAGCCGCGGAGGATGCTCGGGCCGTGAGCCCGCAGCCGGCAGCCCCGGCGCGGCGGAGCCATGGGCAAGGACCAGGAGCTGGTGCAGGCGGTGAAGGCGGAGGACATCGCGGCCGTGCAGAAGCTGCTGCAGAGGCCCAAGCCGGGCAAAGCCAGTGAGTGCCGCGGCGGCGGGGCCGGGCCGGGGGCGCCGGTGGCGGTGGAGGACGGGGAAGGGGGGGGGGGGCTCAGACCGGCGTCGCAGGAGCGGGCGCGGCGGCTCGGGGCCCGCATCCCGGCCGGGATGCCGCCCTGCCCGGCCCCGGAGCATCCCCGGCCCTTCCCCGGTGCGGCGGGGGACCGTAAACGTGCCGGGGGGCACCCCGGTGTTGAGAGGAGGGGCAGCCCGGCGTGGGGGGCACTGGCGGCTGTGGAGCATCCCGGCCGGGATCACTGCACAGCCTCGCCAAACCGGTCCCGGTGCAGCACCCCGGTACGGCCGGGCTGCCCTTGCCCTGTGCCCCCGAGCAGGTCCCGCGGCCCCGGGGAGCGGGGCCGGGCCGGTGTCCCGGGGCTTGGCCTGGGCACAGACAGGGGCTGGAGGTCTCTTGGTGTGCGTGGAGCGTGTGTGCACGGCCCGTGCGTGTGTGCACCGGGGCTGCCGGTGCCTGCACACATCTGCATGTGCCTGCGCGCGTGTACGTGCGTGCACGCGTGTCTGTGTTTGGGTGCGTGTCTGTGTTTGTGTATCCGTGTACCCCGGCATATGTGTGTCTGGATGGGGCTGTGTTGGTGGTGCCGTGTGTGGGGGTGTTTGGATGAGGCTCCGCGGGTATCTCCCTGGGCGCATCCCTGCGGCTGGGTTTGCACATCCCCGTCTGTGTGTGTGTGCCCCCTCAACGTGTGTGTGCGCGCCCCGGTGTGAGCCTGCGGGGCCGGACGTGTGGGGATGCGTGTGTCTGCGTGTGGACGTGTGTGTGGCTCCAGGAGTATCTGCTCGCTGTACAATGTAAGTGCTCTGGTGAAGGCGTTCCACCCGGGACTGAATTATTCATGGTGCTGATGCAGCCGCAGGTTTCAGGCCTGGTGCGTGGGGCTGGGAGCATCCCTGGGCAGAGCAGGGACCACAGGGAGCACTGGTGTGGCATTGGGACACTGGGCGTGCAGCACCTTTGCTTCCCAGGCTGGATGTGGCACCCCATGTCCCTGGAGCTGTGCAGGGCTGGTGCAGTGTCCCCCGTCCCTGGTCTGATGAAGGAGTAGTCCTGGTCAAGCACAGCACAGCTTCCCCTGTGTCCTGGTGCTGAGCAGGCATCCCCCTGTCCCTGGTGTCATGCAGGGCTGGTGTGGCATCCATCGTGTCCCCAGTGTCGTGTAGGGCTGGTGTAGGTCCCTCATGCATGGCTGGTGTTGTGCCCCCCTGTGTCCCCGGTGCCATCACTGCTCTCCCTGCCAAGGGACTACACAGGGGGAGAAGCGGCTCCAGCTCGGAGCCCCCTCCATCCCAACCCGCTCCAGGTGTTGCCACTGCCATGGCCTCTTGGAGTAGCGTGTGGGGATGGGGACGAGGCCTGGGCCCAGCGTGATCCCCTGCACACAGCTGGCGTTGCTGTGGCAACGGCCAGAGGTGCCCGAGTGCCACCACCTCCTCCTGCATCCATCCCAGCCCTGCTCTGCTGCATCTCCCGCTGCAGAGCCCTCTGGCCACGGGGCCAGTGGTGCTCCCTGTGCCGGGCTCATTGGACAGGGATAATGGGCTCCCAGTGAGGCCGTGCCTGGCCAGCCTGCTGTTGGGGTGATTCCTGCTGTGGGCCTGGATGCTTGCACATCTCCAGCGCTGCCAAACCCACCAGTGTTGGTGCTGGGATGCTCTGGTGCCGTTTTCCCCCTGGACCTGACTCCTGTGTGGTGCCGTGCTCATGGCATAGAGCGCACAAGCACCTCTGGTTGCAGCAGCAGGGCTGGAGGAGCTGCGCATGGCACAGGGTGGGAGAGCACCGAGCAGGGTCTGTCCCCATGCGGCGGCGTCCCCGCATCCCTCCATGTGCCAGCCCCACGCGTGCCTCCGGTGCTCCCCACGCTGTGCAGCAGCGGGAGGGTTTGTAAGTGAGCTCTGTGATCTGGGCAATATCCTATTCATGTGGGGTTTAATAAATGGGATTTTTGCAATCCCTGCGTGAATTACCACGGGTTGCCATGGTGACGTGGGGCCCGATTTAGCCGGAGGAGTACGAGTTTGTGGGGCCCGGGCCGGCCGCAGCGCGCACCGCGCTTGCTTCCCGGGCATCCATAATTGATGAGGTTGTCTGAAAGTTACGCAAATCAGATGCAGGGATTTGGCAGCAAAACTGCTCCCCTCCCTGCTCCCTCCTCCCGGTGCTACCTCGAAGAATTGTGGTGACTTGGCGTTTTCCCCTCCATTCCCTGGCCCCGGGCACCATGGCATGGGATGGGGCGCTGGGGTGTCCCTAGCAGCATCCATGCCTGTCCCTGTCCCAGGCGCCCGGGGCTTTGGGAAGCAGGAGAGGGTGCTGTGATGTGCAGAAGAGCTGTAGTTCCTTGGCTGTGGAATGTTGGAGCGAGGAGGCTGCTTCCCTGCGAGGCTGATGCTGCCAGCGGCTTTTCCCTTTGGAAGCAGCTCCTGTCTGGCACCCACTGGTGCCATAGGAGGGATGTTGAGCCAAGGGTTGGACCCTGTGCCCGGCTTCTCCCATTGGGCTGGGGGGGGTTACAAAGAGCTTCCATGCAGCAAGGATGTCCCAGCACAAGGCAGGGTGAGCATCCAGCGTGGCACGGGCTGACTGCAGCCTGGACGTGGGGTTGGGAGCTGGGGCTGCACCCTGCAGAGCTGCGCTGCCCACCCCATGCCTGGCCCTCGGTGCCATCCTGGTCCCCCGTACATCAGGGCTCGTGTCCTCATGTGGCCGGCTGGGATGCTGGAGCTGCCCGGCTGGGCTCTGGACCCCACTGTGGAGTGCTGCATCCCTCTAAGCAAGAGTAACCCAGCCCAGGCTGTGGCTGCCTCCAGCCAAACTCTGGCTGTGCCGGGCAGGAAGAGCTCCCCAGTAGTGAGAAGCCCAGGACAGGAGCCAGGCAGCTCCTCGGATGGATGTGCCTGGTGCAGGCAGCGCGGGCCTGGTAGCAGGGCAGGGACCCCAAGGCTCAGGGAGCTCATCACCCTCTGGGGTGCTGCCATCCCGTGGGAAACATCCCGGGATGTGAGTGGAGCTGCAGCAGCTCAGCGGGATGCGGGACAGTGGGAACAGGAGCCAGACCCCTTGGGAACAGGGACTTCCTGGGCAGGACCTCGCTGGCTGCCTCCTGCCCTATGGCCAGTTAATTCTGGGCTGGGTCTTTGTGTTGCCTGCATTTGATTGCATTAATAATCTCCTCTGATCACAGGATTTAATAAAACCAGGCTAATATGGCGCAGTTGGGAAATGTCTTTGACATTTCACAATTCAATTTCCATGCAGTAAAAGGCCGGGCAGCTGCAAATCCAATTGTGGGGCAGTGCCCAGGGTGCCGGAGCTGCCCGGGTCCCCCCGCTGGCACCGGAAACCTCCCCGGTGCTGCCAGCATCTCATGGCTCCTGCTCCTTGGCCGCGGGCACTGGGAGGAAGCCTGGGCAGGAGGGAGCTGGCTGGGACACCGGAGCCCCTGGGTGCTGCAGCCTCTGGAGCCATCGGTGTTGAGCAGGAGGAAGTGGCTGCAGGTCCAGATCCCGGGTCAGCTTGGCCTAAGGGATGCTGGGCCCCTCCATGTATCCCCATGGCCCTCCCTGATCCCCTTGGCACAGATTAAGGGGTGAAACATTGGGATGCGGGTGGTGATGCCGGCATGGGGTGATGCTGGCACCAGGCGCTGCTGGTGCATCCCAGGCACGGGGCCTCGGGGCCGTCCAGGCTGAGCAGCTCCTGCTGCTGCTGTGTTTAATGGTGCCAGCAGGTCCCTTACAAACTTCTCGGGGCTTCCAGCCCGTGTGTGAAGCTCGCTCCCAGCAGGACTTGGCAGGAGAGTGCAGGCTGGCGGGTGCCAAGTTCCCTTCCAGCGCGGGGTTCCTGCTCAGCCTGGGGCGCTGCTCCTTGGTTTACATCTCCTTGCCTCCCCACTGCGGCTGGGCTGGAACTGTGGGTCCAAACCCTCCTTTAGCCTCCCATTGTGGGGTCCCTGTTTGCCATAGGATGCTGCAGAGGACCCGGGGCTGTTGGCTGCTGCGGAGCAAAGGAGCTGTGAGCCGGCGGCTCCAGTCCCAGCTTGAGGCTCCCTCGCTGGCCTCGATTCTCTTGCACAGTCCCAAATTCGCCTGGCTTGACACCAATTCGCCCTTTGCCAGCTCTGGGCGGCCCCTTGTGCCCGTGGCTCTCCCATGGCCACTGATTCTGGCTGTTTCCCACACCAGGACCTTGCTGCCGGGTGCTGTGGTGGGTGATGCTCCCAGCATGGCGGGGATGAGGGTGATGGTGCTGTGGGTGCTCTGAGCCCCATCTGCAGTCCCTTCTCTGCCAGCCCATAGTGGTTTCCAGTAGCCAGGCTGGCGTCTGGCTCCTCTCCCCTGCTCTGCGCTCCCTTTAACTCTTCCCTCCCTTTCCAAGCCACTGGGAAAGGCTCTGATCAGCCCCATCCTTGGCTTGGGGTGCCCCCCACCCATTCCTGCTCCCCTTGTGCCTGCAGGAGGGAGTGGGATGCTGCACCATCTGCAGCATCCTCCACCCTATGGAGGCAATGCTCCTGGATGGCAGCTGCACGGTGCTGTGGCAGGGTCCCAGTGGAGGCCAAAGCAGTGCTGGGTCCTCAGGAGCTGTGCTATTGCTGGCAGGGTGAGTGGTGGAGGGGGCTGCTTGGCTCTGGGGTGATGCTCAGGGCTGTTCTTGCATGTGTTTGCCATGGTGCTCCCATCCTGGTGCTACTCCATCACCTTGCTGTGTCCCACCTGTGGCCAAGGGTACCACGAGGATGGGCTGTGCTGGGTTAGTGCAGCACTGATGTCCACCCCTGTCCCAGGTTACCATCCCATCCTGCAGCTGGGACATGTGGATTCACCCTCCTGGTCCCCTCTCCTTGGAGCAACAGGGTCCAGCACATCCTGCCTGGCACAGGAGCGATCCCGCCGGCAGACCGGCTCTGTGCTGGGCTGAGAGGGATCTTTAAGCTGTAATGAAATGTTAATAGTATT